CCACATAGGAATGCTCAAACTGCCTGAAACTCCAGTTCCATAGGATTGTACACCGTTCTCTGGCCTCCGTGGCCATGTCTGCAAAGGCACTCCCATGCATGCGCACATATATACAGGTAAACATACATATACACATAAATAAAAAATAAATCTTTTAAAAACATGAAGAGGAAGTTATTTGGGCTCATATTTTTAGAAGATTCAGTTCCTGGTTGGCTGACTTCATTGCTCTTGGGCCTGTGATGAGTCAGCATATCATGGCTGGGGGCACAAAGCATAGGAAACTGTTCACCTCATGACCAGGATGCACAAGGAAAAGGAAAGGAGATGCCAGCTTTCATGGTCACACTCTCAAAGATCTAACTTCCACCCACTGGGCCCTACCTCTTAAAGGTTCTACCACCTCCTGACAGAGCTGTAGGCTGAGGACCAAGCTTTCAATACGTGAGCCTTTGAGGGGTTTTAAGATTCAAACTGTAGCATTTTTCCTGCTTTTCTGTATGTTCTTGAATATGGGTTAGTATTCTAGTTAATTCATCTGTAGTGTTTTTAAACATTCTATTTGTATGGTTTCAAAGGATATTCTAGCCTTACATTTTCTGTACATAGTTTATCACAGTCTACTGGTGTTTCATTTTTGTTGTTACCAAGTGAAGTACAGAAATGTTCCCCTTATATCTCCTGTATATGATCTTAACCATTTCTTCTTCATAATATAGGACATGTCAGACCATGCTGCAGTTCTGCCTCAGTTCTCATAGTTCAGAGAACTCAAGAAGACAATCTTTTGTATTTACCCATAATTTTGATTACTGTATGCCCTTTTTTCATTATACTACATATATTTATACTCTGACACCAAATGTGTCACCAACTTGGTGTCCTCAAATTCAGCTCTGACACTACACAGGGTATCATGAAACTCCACAGGATAAGGGCCTCGTGTCATATGACTGTCCTCACCATCTGCACATAGGGTACCCAGACTTCTGCTCTGCTGACTACAAATTTGGGTGTTTTACTACCCCATCTCAGGTTTGGTAATTCACTAGAGAGACTCCTCTAATTAAAAAAAAGCTTACTTACATTTAGCCATACATTATAATATATTAAATTAAAAAACAACCAAATGGAAGAGATGCATAAGCTATGTATTCAGGTGGGGACTGCTGAGCTTCCAGACCCTCTTCTGGCTTGCCTCCCTCCCAGCCTTTCTTTTATTCATCAACCCAGAAACTCTTTGAATCCTACCATTTATGGGTTGCTATAGACGTTTTATTATGTGGGCACAGTTGAGTAAATCATTATTAGTGATTGAACTTAAATCTTCAGTTCCTGACCCCTCCTTGGAGGTCAAAGGGTGGTACCCAGCATTCCAACTCTAATGGATAGCTGGGTCTTTCTGGTGACCAGCCCCTGTTCTGAGACTCTTTACCCTCCCGCCCCTCCCCCAAAGACACCCTTATTAAGGAGATTCCAGGGATTTGGGGAGCTGCCTGTCATGAACCAACCAGGACAAAGGTCAGATGTCTGTTTTGTGTTGTGTGTTCTTCCTGATTTTTCAGTTTCTTCTCATCATTTGCTTTTTGTTTAGAGGATTTCCTCTAGTCATTCTTCTGAGGGAGACATTCTCTTATTTTGTTCAGAGAATGTCTTGATCTGTCATTCTGATAGCCATTTTTGCTGGGTGTTCAGTTTTTTTCTTTTTTTTTTTCTTTTTTTTTTTTTTAGCACTTGAAAGATGTGCTGTTTGGTTGCAGTTGAGAAATCATGTCTTTCTAATTGTGTGTGTGTCTGTCTGTATTTGTGTTTCACTAGGAGTAGGATTTTCCCTTGTCTTTCTTGCTGCTTCTGGTTCTTTGTCTTTGACTTGTTTTTCAGCAGTGTAGTTATTTGTCTTAGTGTGGAGTTCTTTAATGTAGTTTCAGTAGTTGGGGGTTTGCTCAGCTTTCCTGGTGCCTGGGTTTTTGTCTCCCTATAGTTTAGATTCTCAGCAGTTTTTTTCTTTGCATACTTTTCAACCTGTACTTTTTTCCTCTTGTCCTCTAGATCTGAGAGCATAAATGCTTGATCTTTGGTTATAGCACCGCGGGTCGCTGATGCTCTCCACTTTTTTTTTTTTCCAGTTAATTTTCTCTTGTTCAGATTGGACAGTTCTCTGATTTTTCTCTGCCCCTTCCATCTCATTTTAAGGATTTACTGAGGGTTTTTTTTGTTTTTGGTTTTTTGTTGTTGTTGTTGTTGTTGTTGTTGTTGTTGTTGTTGGGGTTTTTTTTGGCTACTGTATTTTTCTTCTATAAACATTTTATTTATTTTATGTGTATGAGTGTATTGCCTACATGCATATAAGTTCACCCATATCATGGGCTTTCTGAAAGTCAGAAGAGGGCATTGGATCCCCTGGAACTGGAGTTATGGATGGTTGTTAGCCATCATGTGGGTGCTGGGAATCAAACCTGTCCACTACGAAAGCATTCAGTGCTCTTAACTGCTGAGCCTTTTCTCCCACCCGTATTTTTCTTTTTAAAAAAAAAAATTATTGCCGGGCATGGTGGCACACGCCTTTAATCCCAGCACTTGGGAGGCAGAGGCAGGTGGATCTCTGTGAGTTCAAGGCCAGCCTGGTCTACATAGTGAGTCCCAGGACAGCTGGGGCTACAGGGAGACCCTGTCTCAAAAAGACCAAAAAAAAAATTATTATTTTTATTTTATGTATATAAGTATATTGCCTGCCTGTGTGTAAGTGCAAGCCTATCATGCACCACCCACAAAGGTCAGAAAAGGGTGTTGGATCCCCTGGAACTGGAGTTACGTATGGTTGTTAGCCACCATGTGGGTGCTGTGAATCAAATCCAGGTCCTCTGCAAGAGTAGCCAGTGCTCTTAACTACTGAGCTATCTCTCCAGCCCCACTTACTGTGTTTTTCAACTCTAGGATTTATGTCGTTGAGAAGTGGGGGGTGGATGGGGGAGAAGCTCACATTCGCTGGTTGTTAGCCCAGGGCCTTAAGCATGCTAAGCACATACTCTACTACTGACCTACACCTCCAACTCTATCTTCTCTTTCTTTGTTGATACTTTCTATTTATTTGTTTCAGGTGGGTTTATAATACTTCACAGAGCCACTGAGCTGTTTTGTCCCTGTTGTCTCAATGTTAACATCTATTTTAGTCTTTTTTGTCATCTAGTATGGAATCTTTCTGGTTCTTAGTATAAAAAGTGTTTTTCCTATTGAAACACATTTTCCCACTATTTTCTTTATGCTTTCTGTTTAAGATGAATTTTCTGACACCACTCTGGCAAGGGAAATGGTGATCACTACCTTGCTAATGCCAGGTGGAGGTAGATAAGGGTCCCTGCTTAGCTGCATCGATATTGGAGGCCAGGACTCCTGTTCTTACTGGTCAGAGTTGGTGTTTTAGACAAGTCCAAGAGCTCTCCACCACCTCTGAGGTGCAGATGCCTCATTTCAACTGGATAGTGGTGGGCATTGCCACTCTCCTCAAGGCTTTCTCCAACATTTTGCCTGTGAGACAGGAAATGGTAATGTCTTATTGCTGCCATGTGAGGAACCATGATATCCTTGACAGCAGAGGCGCTCACTACCAGCTCTGGGCAGGAAAGTCCTGTCTTCCTATTTGGTGATCTCTGGTGTCCCTCTGGCAGGGATGTTGGCATGCCTCTCTAGGCTCTCCATTGGCCTGAGTTGGTAGGAGTGGGGTGGAATCACGGTTGTTTCCTCTGGTGTTGGCTGGAGTAGAATGATCATTAACCAAAGGGTTTGTGTGCTGGAAAGCTTTGTCCTGTGGCCAGAAAGAGCAGGCATTGTCACTGTTGTTTGGTTGTTACTGTTTTCCGTGCTTATTGGTATTTCTGGGCTGCTAGCTCTTCAGCCCCAACTCTAGTGTGTATGAGGCAAAGAGGAACACAGTGCTCCATGTGTTTTCTCAAACCCTGAGGTCCAAGCTTGTCTACCTGCCTATCTTTCTTCCAGGGTATCCTTATGTTTGTTTTTTATATAATATCTAGGGTGTTTTGTTGTACTTAGCAGGAGAAATAAGGAAAACTCTGGCTAGTCCACCCTCCTCAAACTAAAGATTTCCCTTTTGTTGTTTTGGGTTTTTTGTTTTGTTTTATTTTTTGAGATAGAGCCTCTTAGAGTCCAGGCTAACTTGGAACTCAGTGTAGCCTAGGCTGGCAATTCCCCTGCTTCAGCCTTGCAGGTGCTGAGATTATATGGGTAAACCACCATGCCCAGCTCTTTTTTCTCCCAAGTCCAGTAGCTTTACCATTTTCTACTGGATGTTATGCTGAGTATCCCATCCTCTTATGGGAACTTGGAATTCAGTCATCCGTGTTCACCTCACATCATTAGGACTTATGTCATGGCTAAAGCCCAGGGCTCCCAGTATTCAACCTTGTTCAGTCTATCTGGCGTTAAGTCTTGGTCTCTTCATCAGAGTCAGTAATTTGGAGTTTTAAACTTTCTTTCATTGCTTTGTCCACAGATTAAGGTAAGTAATTAAAAGATAATAGATTGCTAATATTTAATATTATTTAAAAAAAATAAGTTTAAAGGACTGGGGAGATGGCCCAGTTGATAAATTACTTGCCTTGTAATCATGAGGACCTGAGTTCAATCCCCACATAAAAAAGCCAAATGTGGTGGTACATGCTTGTAACTGTGGTGCTGTGGAGGCAGACAGGCATGTTCCTAAGGCTAACTGACCAACCACACTAGCTTACTTGCAAGTTCTAAGCCAGCAAGAGACCCTGTCTCAAAAAAAAAAAAAAGAAAAAGAAAAAAAACCAAAACAGCATCGATGGCACCTGAAGGACAATAGCTAAGGTCAGCTTCTGGCCTCCACACACGTGTGCACCCCCCAACCCCCGCGCACACACAGGTATAACCGATATAGACACACACTATATGCAGAAACATGTACACACAAAAAAACAGGGGGGAAGATAAGAAATTTAAAGGACTATTTTTCCATATAGGCATTGAAGAAGAATTTAGGCCTTTTTACATAAGTCAACTTGAAGAACTTGTAGAAGATGATGTAGCAGATTTAAAGGTAAGTAATACAGCATCTCCTTGGAATAGCTGCTATCAAAATGTATTATCAGCTGTCAAAATTTGTTACCAGTCGTGAAAATTAAAGCAGTGTAATTCATTACTGAGATCTGAAACAAACCAGCTTGGTGAACACATAAAACAAAATTAGCAGTTGTATACAAGTAACACATTGACAAATTGAACCCATTTCCTCATCAAAATGTATGAAATGAGAGGAAATATATGTAGTAATGTAAAATAAACACTGGAAAGTACTATAAGTAGGTTAGTCATTTTGAGGAATTCTTAAAACAGACAAACAGACCAATGTGGGCTAGGAATGTAGCTCAGCAATAGAGCATGCATAAGGCCTAGAGTTCAGATTCCAACACCACAGAACAAGCAAATATCAAACAAAAAGTGCCCCAAGTAGAAAAATAAGAATTATATCTATTGAGACGCACAAGAGAACAGAACTGTAACCCACAGTCTAATGCCAAAGGAGAAGTAATGCAGATGCAAACAGACACTGCTGGGGACAGCCATTTGAGAACCACATATGTGCCATCTGGAAGAGCTGGCTCCTCCCTGTACTTCCCTTGTGCTAAGTACCCAGCAGCATTATCTAAGGCTAAAGTAGGGTGTCTGGGGTCAAAGAAGCACATCAAAGTCTAAGTAACAGGTAAGTGAAACAGACCTGCACATATACATTTGCACACATACACATTCCACAGTCATCAATATGCTGCCATAACTATCTCAGGATCATATAGCCACAGTCATGAAAAGGAAGCTTCAGTAAATAAACCAGGCAAGCAAACTGTGTTCGAAGTTGAAAGAAAGGGAGGGAAGGAGCGGGGGCGGGGGGGCGGAGAGGGAAAGAAAAGGAAAGGAAGAAAGGAGAGGAAGAATCACCAACTTGTGAGGCATACCTACACTATAAGAAACATATTCAATATAACCCCAAGAACTAATCAAGGTAATACTAAAGCGAAAAAGCATCACCTCAAATAAGAATGTTTGATCATGATGAAAAGGTTTGATTCACAGAAAGATGCAATAACTTTAAATATTGGCATACCCCTTAATAGCATGGCTTTAAATATACAAAACAAAACATGACAGAACACAAAGAAAAAAGACAAATCCATTAGTCAAACTTAGAGGTAGTACCACAAATCCCTCTTTAATTGATACAGCAAACAGACTGTTTGAAGAACATATTTAATACACTTGACTTAATACAAACATATAAACTATATTAAATAACTTCTAAATACCTGCTATATTAGTTTCATTTCCTATTACTGTGATAAAATACCCTGACAAAAACAGCTTCAGAGAAGGGTTTATTTGGCTTACAGTTCCAGGTTACAGTCCTTTATTGCAGGGAAGTCAAGGCAGCAGGAGCATGAAACAGCTGGTCACATCCACAGCCCAGAGCAGAGAGCAGTGAATTCATGTATGCATGCATGCTAGTACTCAGCTCACTTTCTGTAGTATCCCCTGCCCAAGGAAAGGTGCCATCTACAGTGGACAGGTCTTCTCACTAATCAAGATAATCCCCCACAGACGGCTGCAGGCCAACCTTATCTAGACAGTCTCTAATTGATACTTCCTAGCCCAGGAGATTCTAGGTTTTGTAAAGTTGGCATTGAAACTTGTCACATCTACCTTTAAACACTTTTCAAAACAACAGAACATTTAAATTAAGCATGTATAAACATTTTAAAGGATTATAATATATGGCTGGAGAGATGCCCTAGTGGTTAAGAACTCTTGCTGCTCTTCCAGAGGACCTGAGTTTGGTTCCCAGCATCCACATTGGACAGCTCAGAGCCTCCTCTAACTCCAGCTGTAAAGGATCCAATGCCCTCTTCTGGCCTCTGGAGGCACTATTTTTAAACAAACTTAAAAATAAAAATAAATCTTTTTTAAAAGGATTATAAGCCAGGCATGGTGGCACACACCTTTAATCCCAGCACTCAAGAGGCACAGGCAGGTGGAGCTCTGAGTTCAAGGCCAGCCTGGGCTACATAGTGAGTTCCAGGACAGCTGAGCCTACAGGAAGACCCTGTCTCAAAAAGAACAATAAAAAAAAAGGGATTATACAATAAAGAATGTTCTCTGTTTTAGTTTACTGAAGATTTAAGTTTTTCAAAAGATAATTAGAAAATTAGAAGTTAAGAAATATATTTCCCAGGGTTGAAGAGATGGCTCAGAAGTTAAGAGCACTGTCTGCTCTTCCAGAGGACCTGGGTTTGATTCCCAGCACCCATGTGGTAGCTAACAACTGTCCTTAAATCCAGTTCCAGGAGATCCGACACTGTCTTCTGGCCACTGTGGTCTTTGCATGGCATGGGTGCACTTACATACATGCAGGCAAAGTACTCATATACATAAAGTAAAAATAAAATAAAATTTTAAACTATTTCTTATTCAGCTTTTGTAGCTTCATACAACAGTTCTTAATCAAAATTAGATCTCACTTCCCCACCATGCCTCTCCTTTTCTCACCCAAAATAAGATAAATTTTAAGTTAAAACATATTACTAAGTCCTCCCTAAGGACTTAGTGAACTTTTATTCACCAAAAGAAACCACAAAGAGAATGTAAAGGCCAGCCATAGAATAGAAGAGAGCTGTAACACAGGTAAGAGATGCAGGTCTCAGATGCACAGGACTGGTACGATCAGAAAGACAAGCTACCTAATTAAAACATGGGCAGAGCACCAAAGAGAATACGCAAGAAGGCCAATAACTACATCAGATCCGTGCACAGTGTTACCAGTAATCAGGGATATGCAAAATAAAACCACAGCAGGTGATGTGACCTGTCTACAGATTAGCCAACATGAAAAACTTTTCTAAAAGACCTGAGGGAAATCTAAATAAATGCTGAAATATGCTTACAGACTGAAAGAAGCAACTCGGTACACTGAAACTATTAGCTTTCCTGATGTCATTTATGAATGGAGCAAATTTCTAATTAAAATCCCAACCAGATTCTTTAGGGAGCTCAAGAAGCTTAAATTTGTTTGGGAAACTAAAAGATATATAGAAAGCTATCCCAGGAATATGATGAAGTGACTTAAAATAATGTTTTTGAATAAGGATTATCACAATAGAAGAGAATATGGGCCCCACTCCCAATGCCAAAAAAAGTCTTGCAGGTTGGTTTCTCTAGAAGCAGCGGGGATTGAAGGGGAGGTATAGGGAAGGATAGGGCAGAAATGGGCAGGGGAAGAAGGCATAGACCAGTGAAGCCTGACACAGCTTGGGCAGCCCCGCAGGCAGGGAATCCTGAGCACAGCCACCACCCAGCCTTAGCCTTGTCCTGGATCAGGCAGAAATGGCTAGGGCCACTCCCTGCCTCTTAGTGGGTACAGGCTGGCCTAACACAGGAAGCTATCGGGCCTTGAAAGAGCCCACCACTGGAGGCTGTTTGTTGACTCAGTGCCTTGCAGCTGGGTGGCAAGTCTGTCCTGGAAGAGGCTCAGAGAGGCACATTGTTTCTTCTACTACAAAGTCCAAAAATCATATCTACATATGTTTTTCTAACTAAACACAAAATTCCTAAGATATGAGATTATTGCATTTGACTTCATGGAAATGAAAAGATAGTTGAAAGGAGAAATCTACAAAAAGGATGATACCTAGAATATATGAGTGCCTATAAATCAGAAACGAAAAATGAAAACAACCTAAAAGAAGAAAAACAAGTAACATATAGATAAGAATTCAAAGAAAAAATACCTTATCACTGACCAGCGAATTTCAGAACTTTATCTGGTCTCACTAACAAAAACAAATTGAATCGTTATAATTTTGCATCCCTAAGATTACCATTTTGATGATAGATAATAGCAAATGTTGGTAAAAAGTTTGTTGAAGTTTCTTGGAAGGTGAATTATCTGTCAGGTATTGCAAGAACCTGTCCCTGCTTGTTTAAAGTGTTAGGCACCTATCCATGTGTGCATGCTCAAAGTATTGTACATACTAAACAATGTTAGCATCTTTCTGTGTTCTCATGCATGCTCACAGCATTAGGAACCTGCCTATGCATAAATATTCAGAGGTTAGGGACCTATTCTTCCATGTATTCTCAGACATTTAATTTCAGAATTGCTTATACTTTCTTGGCAAGTAAATACTTGGAAACAATGCAAATGTCCATGAGTAGATGCTCCAAATCATGACTGATCTAATCATATGAGGCCACTCTAAGAAGAGGCAGGAACGACATGTCGTAACACAAAAGGATCTTCAAGATTGTCAATGAAGAAAAGAAATTGCAAAGCAATACTCTTGTGTTAGTCCTTTTGTATTACATGCATACGAGCGTATATGTCTTTGTATACTTTGGCTTATGTATGCCAGTGCCTCAAGGAAGAATGGGGCTGCAGGTCCCTTCAGGATGAGGATCAACAAGAAAAAAATAATAATAATAATGGATAAGTATAGAACTTTCTACATTTTCATATTTTAGTGAGTGTTGCTTTCTTTTTATGTAACTTTCATAGGAAATCAAATTCTCTTTCCTTCTCTCTCCCTTCCTCCTTCTCTCACCCTCTTTCTCCTTCTTTCCCTCCTTCCCTCCTGGATGTCGAACCAGGGCCCCATGCAAGTACTCTACCACTAAGTTATATCTCTAGCCCTAGTTTCTGTTTTTAACATGACAAAATGCACATAAAATTGACCCTTCTAGCCATTTTTGAGTCTGCAGTTCAGGTTTGCATAGCCATCACCAGTAACCATTTCAGAACTTTAAAATTCATCCATCTTGTAACATTTATCAGAATGTTACTCCTTTTTGTGGCTGAATAAGATTCTGTTACATGGATAATATCACATTTTGTTATCCATCTGTCAACGTCAGGGTTGTTTCTACCTTTGAGCTATTGTTGAATGATGCGCTGTAAATATTGGTGTATAAGTGCTTGTTCTGAGTCTGTGTTTTCAATTCTGTGATGTATACTTAGGAATGGGATTGCTAGACCACATGGGAATCTCATTTCACTTTTTAGGAACCTCCAAACCCTTTTCCTTGGTAGCCGCACATCTTAACGTCCTCCATCAGCAGTGCACAAGAGTTCAGTTTTCCACATCTTCACCAACACTTGTTATTTCTGTGTGTGTTTTGTTCTGTTTTAGCCATTCTGTGAAGCATGACGTGACCTTTCCCATGGCTTTGATTTACATTTCCCAAGAGATGTGTTTGTGTTGATTGTCTTTGGAGAAAATGTCTGTTCAATTCCTTTTTTTCTTTTTTTTTTTTCAATAGTAACTCCTTAAGTACCAAAAGCAAGTCTCCAACTCATCCACCTGACTCTACTCCCAAGTACTGGGGTTACAGACATGTTCCACTACCATGCTTGGCTAAAATATTTGTGTGTTTGTGTTTGTGTGTGTGTGTGTGTGTGTGTAGACCTGGGAATGCAACCAGCACATGCTGGGCAATACTCTGCTATTTACTTATATCCCAAGCCCTTCCTTTACCCATTTCTGAATTTGTTTTTTTTGTTGTTGAATTGTAGAAGTTCTTTATATATTCTGAATACTCATCTCTTATCAAATAGATATGATTAGCAAATATTTTCCCATTCTGTGGGTTGCCATTTCACTCTCTTGATAGTTTCCTTTGCTGCACACATTTTAATTTTGATGTAGTCAAATTTGATTGCATCAAAACTGTTACCTGTGTTTTTGGTGCCATAGTCAAGAAATCATTGATGGGATCAGATCAGAACATTTCTTCCTGTTTTCTTCTAAGAATCTTGTCATTTTGGCTCTTGGATTTAGGTGTTTCATCTGTTTTGAGTTAATTTTTGTATATAGGAAGGGCCCAGCTTCATTTTTTGGTATGTGTATATCCAATTTTCCTCACTGCATGCCTCGGGGGACCCTGATCAGATGTCAATTGATCATGTATTTGGTGGGGGTATTCCTCCCCTCTGTTCTGTTCCATTGGTCTGTGTTTCTGTTTTTTATGCTAAAATCAAAGTTATTAATTCTGTAGCTTTGTAATAACTTTAGAAATCAGGAACTCTAAGTCCTCTAACTTTGTTCATTTGAAAGACCGTTTTCAGTATTTGAGGAAAAATGTTTACTGCTTATTAAATTTGTATGAGATGTCTTGATAGTGTGAAAAGATTGATTCTTCTTATAATAGGTATTTTTCTGATGGTTGCTAAAGTATGTATGTGTGCTCTCAATTATAGAAAGTGTATCCGGATCAAAATGCAGTTTTGAAGAGAATGTACTCTCTCCAGTATGATTGTGTGCCATTACCCCCGAGCAGGTCAAACTCAGGTAACCCAGTTGTCTATTCATTTGTGTACTCAGTCATTCATTTTAGACTCTAAAATTCTTCTGAGAACCATGTGGGAAAGAGTTCAGTTTTCCACATCTTCACCAACACCTGCCTCAAAGGTCTTTCTGTATACTCTAAAATCCAATTAATGTATCAGGAAAAGCCTAAGTAACAGCATGCTTACCAAAATCAGTGTGCTGACACAAGCAACCTGACCTCTCTCAGAGGAGTCTGATAGGAAGACTCCTATCAGAGGAGGAATTGGGATGCCTTTGGGAGCAGAGTCCTTGAGGTCAGAGTACGGGCAGAAAGACTGGTCTCAGATTCATGCAGAGAAGCTTTTTTTCATTAAGACAAAGGGGAATTTAGAGTATAGGTACCAAGGTTACTGCTTTCTGACCTGGAGCAGACTTCCTAATCTCACCCAAACTTCATCAAATCATGATTGCAATAACCCTCAATCCCACAGGCCTTTTTTTTAAAAAAAAAAAAAAAAAAAAAGTTTTATTCATTTACTTTATGTGTATGTGCATGGGACTGAGTATATGTCTGTGCACCACAGGTATGCAGGTGCCTGCAGAGGCTAGAAGAGGGTATCAGATTCTTTGGAACTGGAGTGCAGGCAGTTGTAACCTGCCATGTGGTTAGTGGGGATCAAACTCAGGTCCTCTAAAAGATCTGAGCTGTAAGCCTTCTTGACTGCTGAGCCATCTCTTCCCACAGACTGTTAAAGCTGTAGAGCACAGCTGTTGTGTTGTCCCTCTTTTGTTGTTTGTGGTAATTTCCTTCTCTCCCTGCCAGCCTGGGGTTCCACTGATGGTATATATTAAACTTACAGGAAAGAGACTGTTGGGTGTTTTTTATGCTTCTCCTTTCAGCATGTCACTAAAGAACAGATTCGTTATAGTGCTTGAGTGTAATTTTACTTTTAAATGTTTCATGAAACCCACACTAATCATGTCTTCCCTGCTGCAGAACAGCCTGGTTCGCTGCACAGTTCCCAGGGGCTCCCGATGGGTCCTGTGGAAGAGTCCTGGTTTTCTTCCTCCCCAGAGCACCCACAGGAAGAGAATGAGTGCAGTGTGCAGGGCAAACTCCAAGAGGAGGCCAGTTATCATGCTTTTGGCAGATTCACGGAGAAGCAGACAAAGCCACAGACCAGACTGCATGTGGCTTACAACAGAGAAGAAGAAAGGAGACGGCGAGTCTCCCATGACCCCTTTGTACAGCAGAGACCTTATGAGAATGTTCAGAATGCAGGGGTGAAAGGTCTGGCAGATCCTAGCACAACCAGTCATGGTAACATAGTACACCAACTGACAAGGCCAGCCAGCCAACCTCAAGTGTCATATTGGAACAATGGATTGTATAACCAACATGGGTTTGGAACAAGACCATTAGATCCAGGAACTTCAGGTGTAGGAGTTTGGTATGGGCCAAATCCAAGCCAGATGTGTAATATGTATAAAACTCCAGTGCCTGAGACAAACACACTGGGAAGCACACCCACCATTCCGTTCAGCTCCTTGCCACCATCAGGTAAGTGAATTTTTAAAATAAAGTAACCACTGGCTTTGTCACAGACTGTAAGTTATTGATGAGGACCGAGGTTAAGGTGTTCAGAGTGAGACTTCAGCTGCCAGATGCAGCTTGCCACCTTGAAATGGTCTCCATCAGACCACTCAGTCTGGGATATTTGTGTTTGGCTAGACTCGTCACAGATGCTTCACAGTTATGGATTATAGGCCCTTGTAACTGTAAGCATCTCCTTTCGCTTCCTGGAATAGTAATCCTGTTACACCCAGCCTCTCAGATAAATGGAAAATATTTGTTTATACTCTTTTACCTTGTTTGTTAATTTCCAAAGGTTAAGAAATGTCTGAGATATTTTTAATTTTTATGTAGGCCATAAAGACTATCACTTGTGATAAGAAAGTGTTTTTCAACTTCTGTATCCTGTTCAAGTAAAGTCCGAGCTAGCTGATAATAGTTTCCAGTACTCTGGAGTAGAAATGGCTTAGTATCTATCATTATTACCAAACAGTACTTGCAATGCTGCCTCAATGACCTCATGTCTCCATTAGCAATACTGTATTATGTCCTAGGACTTCTGAATGCAGCATACGTGGAAAAAACATTGAGAACTGCAGATCTTTCTTAGCAGGTAGTGCAGCTCAGTGGTACAGAGCATGCCAGGCCTTGTGTTCCTTGCTCCAAAAAACACAAACACAAACCACATTTTCTTTTAGAATGACAAATTCTGAGAAGCATTCAGCATTTCCTATAGGTTTTCTTAGATCTGTGGAAAGTACAATATTGGGCTAGGTATTCAGCAGATCTACACCACACACAGTCATGAGTGCCTTGTCCTAGATGTCCTTTTATTTCCTTTATGCATGAAACTGAAGTGTTTTGTAAGTGTCATTATATCATTTTATTCATGATTAAGTTAATAAAAATTTAGGGTGTCTACTGCTTGGTGGCAGGCAACAGGAAAGATACAATGTGAACAAGCAACCTGAGGCACCTTCCTTGCATCCTTGCAGATTATAAGCCAGCATTTAGTGTGTCATTTTCTGGTCCTGTCTCTGTAGAAGTAACCAGACTTACTAGTTTGCTGCTAGAGTCCTTCCCTCTCCCTCTGGGCCTTGGTCCTACTGAGAACGGATGTAGAGAGCTGTCTCCTTATGGATGCTGAGTTCTCAGTAGTTGTCAGAGGAGGACTTCCATTCATAGTCAGTGATGGAACTATTGCTTATGTACCCTAAGGAGGCTCCTACAGATTTCTTGTTGCCAATGTGATTTTTCTGCTTGATTCTGTGATCAGACTGTGTATCAAATGTGAGCTTTTTAATTTGCATTGCCATATAAGGAGGGTGTGTGTTAAGCAGTGAATGAAAAAGGAGAATAAGGATTTCTGTATTTCAGAAATAGCTCTGATGACTTCTATTCAGTGCCACTTTAAATAAGGTTAAGAAAAGACAGTTCCTGGGACTCAATTAGGAGACCCAGGCTTTGGTCCTGGTGCTGATAGCCGTTGTCCATGTGACTTGGGTAAGTCATTTTGCCTTTCTAGGTTCATTAGTTCAGTTATAAGTGGAAATCCAACACCTCCAGGTTTATGTATTGCAGACTCCCCTGTGTTTCTGATATTACAGTCGTTTCTCCATTTCACAGCCTTTGTGGGATTTTCAGTGGCAGGAAGGTAGACAAAAACTGTGATTCAAAAACAGGGAATGGACAGGTCAGGGTAAAATCCTGACACTGAGTTAGGTGTACTCTGTGTAAGTCAGTACTCTATGTAAACTAGGGACAGTGGGCTGAGGGTGAGGAAGGTAGGTTAGCACTGTACCTGATAATGAACAGAGTAGATGCTTAGTAAATGGGTAGCTGTTATTCCTTAGAAAAGATTTCATATAAAAGATGAAGCCTTTAGAGCTAGAAGGCCAGGGGTATTTTTGCTAAGATTTCAGAGACCTCAGTGTCATCAGCTTGGACCACCCATAGTTACACACAGATATTCTGTCTGTGCGTTTTACATTTCATACACTTCAGTAAAGAAGGTCCCTTTGCTTGGCTTCGTTGAAGAAAATAAAGCAAGCAAAGTGTCTGTTCCTGCTGTGCTGTCTACTGTGTTGTTCTTGTGCTGCCTGGGGGCCTTAAAGCAAAATTCACTTACCTCCTTCCTCAAAACTGCTGTGTCCTCTACATGCCCTCTCCTGCATCGATCTGCTAAGTGTTCTTTAGTGATTGATCGTACATTGGTCAAGAGTTCAGCACCAGTGACTCTGAGCACATGCCCCACACCAAGTCCTGTGCTAGGGAACAGAAGGAATATGAATGGCAGCAGATTTGGTTCTGTCCACCAGGTCTCACCCCAGTGGGGAAGTCACAGGTCCATGGCTACTGTGATGCTCAGCAGTCAGGGCAGTGCTGTATGCATCCAGGATTAGGGTTATAGGGCAGGCTCACGGAAGGAGGCAAGATTTGATAAGGACCTGTGTTGGAATCTCACAAGTAAGAAGAACAAGTGAGGAAACCAGGAGGCCAACAGTCCAGGCAGAGGGAACAGCTTGATCAAAGGCATGATTACAATACAAGGGATCCACAGGAAAGTTGGCAGAACTCGTCTCCAAACGAGATGGGGGAGATGGTGGAAGGAAGGGCACAGAAAGCGGTTAGAATTGAGTTAAGGCCAACTTTGAATACTGAGCTAAGAGGTTTGGGTGTATTATATAAATGGGAGGACCCTTAGCAGATGTTTGGGTGCTCGGTTCCTGCTGAGAAGTATGGCTGAGCTTTGTAATTTTCTTCATTCACCACCTTCTTCTGACCTGGTGGCAGCCATACTGTTTTGTTTTGTTTTGTTTCATTTTTGAGACTATCTCATTGTATAGCCCAGGCTAACCTTGAACTCATGATCCTCCAGCCTCAACTTCTAAGTACTAAGATTATAGTACTTAGTACTTAGTACTAAGATTATAGTACTTCTTTTTTAATTCCAACAGAGTAGCTATAGCATAAAATTTACTACCTTCTCCATTTTTCCATGTACAGTCCAGAGGCATTGAGAATGGTCATGGTTACACATCCATTACCACCATCCATTTCCAGAGTGAACCTGTACCCCAGTCTCTGCCCGTCACCATTCTGTCTCTGTGAATTTATCTAGGTACCTTACACAGGTGAAATACTGCAGCACTTGACCTTTTTAAAATATTTTATTTATTATTTTTATTTTATGTGTATGAGTGTATTGCCTGCATGTAATTGAGTGCACCCGGATCATGCAATGCCATGGCGGTCAGAAGAGGGCTTCAGATTCGCCTGGAACTGGAGTTAAGGATGGTTCACAGCTGCTATGTGGGTGCTGGGACTCGAACCCAGGTCCTCCACAAGAGCAGTCAGTGCTCTTAACCACTGAGCTGTCTCTCCAGCCCCAGCACTTGACTTTTTTTTCTTCTGGTTTGCAGTTTTTGTATATTATTGAGAATTTCATACATGCATATAAGGTGTTTTGATCAAATCCATGCCTACTCTCTCCCCTCCAACACCTCCCATATCGCCCCATCACTTTTTCCTGACAACTTTGTGTAATCTACTTTCCTTCCTTCCTTCCTTCCTTCCTTCCTTCCTTCCTCCCTCCCTTCCTTCCTTCCTTTCTTTCTTTTAATGGGGCTTTTTGTTTCTTGTGTTTATCTACTTTTGCTATTAGGGAAATACTGGCCCTAGAAAGAGTTAGGAACTATTCCTAAAATTTTTTCTTTGATGTGTTATCAAGTGGGGTTTTAATTCTCCAAATATTGGGGGTCTATCTGGTCTTAATTTGCTGCTGCCTTTTAGTTTGACTCCATCGAGTTCAGAGAATTAGACATTGTTATTTCTATTCTTTTTTGTTAAACATTTAAATACTTTGTTTTTATTTTATGTGTATGAGTGTTTTGCCTATACGTACATAAGTGTACAACATATGTGCAATACCAGCAGAGGCTATCAGATCCCCTGGAACTGGAGTTAAGGACAGTTGTTAGCTGCCATGTGAGTGCTAAGAACCAAATTCAGGTCCTCTGCAAGAACAGTCAGCATGCTGTCCAGCACCAATTTCTACTCTTTTAAGTTTGTTAAGGTGGATTTTTATGGCCTAAAATGTAGTCTATCCTGGGTTTACGTGAGCTTGAGAAAAATGTGTGACCTGCTATTATTGAGTAAAATTCTCTTTACACGTCAGTTACATCCAGCTAATTTTTGTGGATATTGAGTTTTACTATGCCCTTACTGCTATTCTGATTGTTGAATTTCTCCCTTTCCAGCAATATATTCACTGAGTTCTTCTTGAAGTTCTATCAATTTCTGTTTCATAGAATGCCCAGATATGTTCAGCTCTGTCGTTAAGTATGTGTACATTTAGCTCTGTTGAGTCTGCTTATAGTACTAACCTCTTTGTCTCCCTAGATGATGTCTTTCTTTGGCTGGACACCTCCTTACTCTGAAGTTGGTATTGTGTGAAATTATCATAACCACTCCCGCTTCTTTTTTATTAGTGTTACTATGAGGTAGCCTTATTTCCCTTTACTTGGAGCCTGTCTGTTTTTATCTTTAAAGTAAGATCCTTCTAGACAATATGTACTAATGTCTTTCTTTTGGCCCATTCTAACCAATTGATGAACTGAAACGATTGAAATTTATGTGATTATTGATATAGTTGGACTAATAGATGGATAAATAAATAATAGATAAATTGATGGTTGACAGATGATGTTCATAGATAGATAGATAGATAGATAGATAGATAGATAGATAGATAGATGACATATAAATTAATGATGGATAGATGATAAATTGAGGAAGGACAGATGATATTGTTGTAATAATAGGTACATAGCTAGATGGATAAATAGATGATATATAGATAAACTGATGATGAACAGATAGATGATGATGATGAAGATAAATGATAGATAAATTGATGATGGATAGATATAGATAGATGACAGATAAGTTGATGATAGATAAATAAATGATAGAAAGATAGATGATAGAAGATAGATAGATAGATAGATATATGATAGATCATATTTGTTAATTTTTTTCAATTTTGCCATTATTCACTATTTCTATTTTTTTCTTCCATTCTGTTTTCAGTCTTCTGTGGTTTTAGTTGAACACTTTATATGATAGCTTTTCCTCTCCTTTTCCAGCATACCAATTATGGGGTTTTTAGTGGTTTCCATTGAGTCTCACAATATCCACTTATAACTAATCAAAGAACATCATATTGCTTCACATGTGGAGCCAATACCTCATGATAGCAAAGTATCCCTAACTCTTCTCTCCCATCCCTTGCACCATTGCTATCTTTGGAGAGGACAGCGTGACCAGAGACTGGAAGTAGGTTTTCACCTTCTCCCACTTGGAAGGTTGGTTCTTCTCTGTCCCTCAGAAGGGGGATAAAAATCCATCAGGCTAGGCTTTGGTAAAACAGTTCTCCTGCCTGCAGGTCATGTTAAGAACAGTGTTCTGTGTATGTCAGAGTGGCTTCTTTTTAGGGGCCCTTGCTAGAAGCAGGAAGTGATTTTTCTCTGCCATTTACTGTGAGGACTGGGAAGAGCTCCTGAAGATAAATTACAAAGGCTTAATGCTCTTCTAAGAATGGGGCCTTCCAGAGCTGACCCAAGGCAAATTGCCTCTAGCAACTTGTCAATTACAGTTAGGTTTTCCCACCTCAGTTCTGGTTCCCATAACACTGTCTGTATACTGCTGTTTCCAACAAGTCATGATTTTCTGTGCCCACCTGTCTGACTGCAGTTCTGAGGGTGGCAGTTGTCCGACTGAGAAAAGTTGATTTTCAGTTTACATGGGTCTTGGCTTGTTAGACGGAGTGGCGACATCTAAGTTCCTTACATCTCAGACAGGAAACTAGAAGTCAATTCTGTCTACTTTTTTGTTGTGAAGTTTTCCAGTTGTTTCAGAGAAGTCAGCAGCCGTTCTGCTTTCCTTCTTGGGAGAAGGATACAAATACATGCTTGCTTCTTGAGAATGAAGAGTTTTCAGAACTGAAACTGAAAGAACGAGCTGCTGCTTTAGATTCACTTTGTAATTTATCTGAGAGGGAAATGGCATGAACTGACTGTTGAGGATGGTACTTTGCTTCTGAACACAGCCATGTAAAACTCAATGTATGTATAAACATGGTAATCCACTTCAGCTGCACCTCAGAGCCTTAAGCTCCCTTTCACCTCCAGATTGAGTTTTCTTTCATCAGATAAATTCTTTAGAGGCAAAGAAACGGCTTCTCATAACCCCCACGCCGTGACGCCCCACCGTTCCCCGATGGCTTCCGGAGTTCCAGTTCCTGAGCTGCATGCCCAGAGTTCCAAAATGTGCCTTGACCTCTTTAAAAAAGATTATTGGGGCTGGAGAGATGGCTCAGCAGTTAAGAGCACTGACTGCTCTTGAAGACGACCCAAGTTCAATTCCCAGCACTCACATGGTGGCCAACAACTGTCCGTAACTCCAGTTCCATGGGATCCAACACCCTCTTCAGACCTCAAGCACTGCACGACACGGGTGCACCTACCTACATGCAGACAATACACTCATATACATAAAAAATTTAAATAATAAATAAAAAATATTTTTTTAAAAAAGGAGTATTACATGCCAGGTATGGTGGAGTGTCCCTTTAATCCCAGCCCTTGGGAGGCAGAGGCAGGCGAATCTCTGTGAGACTGAGGCCAGCCTGGTCCACATAGTGACTTCCAGGTGGGCCTGAGACTAGGGAAACCCTGTCAAAAGTAACAACAACAAAAGATTATTACTGTTACTATTATTCTGAGTTTACATGTGTGCCATAGTACGTGTATGGAGAAGTTGAGGACAATTTTGTTGAGTCAGTTCTCTCTTTCCACCTTTATGTGGGTTCTGAGTATAGAATTCAGGCCACCAGGTTTGCACTATAAACACTTTTAGCCCCTGAGCCATCTGGCCATCGCAGCTTGGCCTTTTGTGACTAGTGCCTTTTAGTTCTTCACTTAGCAGATATCCTTAGTGATCATTCACATTACAGCAAGTATCAGAATTTCCATCTTTCTAAGACTGACTGAGATTCATTTGTGCCTGGCATGGTGAAGAATACGTGTAATTCCAGTACTCTAAAGGAAGAGGTAAGCATCTGAGGGCAGCCTGGGCTACACAGCAAGACTGTCTTAAGAAAAAAAAAAGATTCTGTGTATTATATACCACATTTAGTTTAACCATTCATAGGTTGATGGGTACTTGGGTTGTTTCTGTTGTCAGTGAACATGGATGTAGAAGTATTTCTGTGTACATGTGTATACATATGCCTAGAAATGGAAATACGGAATCATGGGAATTTTCTCTTCAACTTTCTGAGGAAGCACCACACTGTCTTCTACTTTGGCTGTACCATTTTAGATTCCCACCCATGATATGTAGGCATTCCATTGTCTCCATGTTCTTGTCAGCTCATGTCTTTAAAAGAAAATAGTAGCCATCATAATGACTGAATTTGAGTAGCTGCATTTTTAAAAGGAACTATTAGAGAGTGACACAGAACACTTTAGGTACACATTTATAGTAAAGCCCTGCTCCTTTACCATGCCATATTATTTCTCTTCCTTTGAATCTCGATGCACTTACCCATATCTTTCTCTCTATTCAGATGAGTCCATAAAGTATACTATACTCAACAGTACTGGCGTTCAGATTGGAAACTATAATTATATGGAGATTGGTGGAATGAGTTCTCAACTACTAGATAGCACATGCAAAGAAGAGCCAGCTTCCAAGTACCAAGCTATCTTTGGTAAGATGCTCTTTAAGACCAGTATTGTGTGGAGGGAGATGTGCTGTGGTGGCTTGCTTTCTTGGCATACATGAAGCCTTGAATTCAGTCCCCAGCACTGCAGGGGCAAAAAAGACCCAAAGTCTAGTGACCATGGACTTCCTTGAACATTTTTTTTTTTTTTGTCTTTTTGAGACCAGGGTCTCCCCTGAGCCCCAGCTGTCCTGGAACTCACTTTGTAGACCAGGCTGGCCTAACATTTTTTTTTTTTTTTGTCTTTTTGAGACAGGGTCTCCCTGTAGCCCCAGCTGTCCTGGAACTCACTATGTAGACCAGGCTGGCCTCGAACTCACAGGGATTCGCCTGCCTCTACCTCCCAAGTACTGGGATTAAAGGTGTGCGCCACCATGCCCAGTTTTCCTTGAACATTTTTATTCATTGAAAGGGAACTTTCACATTTCTCTTAAGGTTCTCTCTGGAAGTTGTCTCATGTTCCTTCAGTAGTCTTTAATCCTTTTTAATTTGTTTTTTAACACGGAGAATCATAATATCTATTGATGACTTTGTTCTGAAGTTTAAATGAGACAGTATGTACTAAAATCTCAGAACACTGCACATACAAGATCTTTGACTGTTAAACTTCCATCTTGGGGAAGTAGCTCCCTTGGCTCTGCATCAAGGGACTCTGTAAAACACAGAAGACTATGCTTTCAACAGTACTCTGTACTGAAGACAAAAGAGCTATCTCAGGTTTCCACAGATTTCTACTATGTGTGGTGGCACATGCTTATAATCCCGTCACTGGGGAGGTTGAGGTAGGAAGATGGTGAGGCCTAAATCAGCCTGAGCTGTATAGTAAGACCCTGTCTCAGAAAGGAACCAAAACTCAGCTTTCTGATTAACTTTGGAGTTGGCAGTTTTTTCTCTGAAGGGGCAGGTAATGAATATGTGAGGCTTTGAAGGCTCTGGGGCCTCTGTGTAGGCTCCGGGGCCTCTCTGTTATTAGGGTGCAAAAACAACCACAGATAGTTTGCACATGGATCAGTGCAGATGTGGTCCCAGAAACTATCTACAAAAACAAGCAGATGGAGCTAGAGAGATAGCTCAGGGGTTAAGAGTACTGGCCACTCTTGCAGAGGACTTGGGTTTGGTTCCCAGCACCCACATGTCAACTAACAGAGGTCTGTGACTCCAGTTCCAGGGGATCCAGTGCTCTCTTCTGACCTCTGTGAGCATTGCACTTATATGCATGTGGGTAATACATTCATACACATGAAAATAAAATAAAAATAATAAAGTAAAATATTTTTAAAAACAAGTAGAAGCCAGATTTGGCCCACAGGCCTTAGTTTGCCAATCCCTGACCTAAGCCATTTGAAGAGTGACCTTTAAAATGCCTAGAAGACAGATTCTTAACTTTTGAGGAACCAAAGCTACGTTTGCAAATCTAGTGGCATCTGGAGCTCCTCTCCCACCAAGATGGGAGATTTGCAGGTGTCTTAGGAGGTTCTTGGACTCCTGACAGAAGTGACAGAGGCTGGGCTGTGGTACTAAGGAAAGAATGGGAGTTGGGGGGAAAAGGAAGTGCTTTTCTTCATAGATTCAGCCTTCTGAGTTAGGATGAGGATCAAGGACTGCACTTGCTTTTGGCAGCTCTTTCTTATTTTCATATGTTCTTTACTCATTATTTTTGTGCAGGTCTAGGGAGATGGAGCCAGTGGCAAGAGAAAGGCCATGGACCTATGAAATGAGGGGACGGATGTTGGATGAGGGAAGGGAAAAGCATAGGGAAAGGTCTAAAGATGTGTGTGCCTCCTCCATTGAGAGATAAGGGAAGCATTGTACCTGAATGAGGGTCATACCTGATGGTCTTGATGTCCTTATAGAGGACACCATCTAGAGATAGTGGCCTTCACTATGGCCATGTGTAAGTGCAAATTGTCCCAAAGGAACAGAATTTTAATATGCACAGGCCTCAAACAGGAGTTGAATAGAAGACCCAGCCAGGTAGGAGCTTTGTTCATGAAGCCATCAGCTATGGCTCAGGGGTGCCTCTGCCAGGAAGAACAGGCACCCCATTCTAAGTCACATAAAGACTCCTTATGGGCCACAGTCAGGTCAAGTGTCATCCAACAACTCAGTAACAATTAACAAGTTATCACCAAGCATTGTGTACACACCACTAATCCCAGCACTTGGGAAGTGAAGGCAGGAGGATTGTGAGTTTGAGGCCAGCCTGTGCTATGTAACAAGACTATCTCAAACCAAACAAAAATTTCTTTGTTTGCTGGCTTCTGGTATTCTTCACTTTACTGAGGCATTTCAGCAATGCAGGAAGCTAAAATGTTCAAATGGGCTATAGCCTGATACTTCTTTTTCTATTTGACAGATAATACCACTAGTCTGACTGATAAACACCTGAACCCCATCAGGGAAAACCTGGGAAGGCATTGGAAAAACTGTGCCCGTAAGCTGGGCTTCACCGAGTCACAGATTGATGAAATTGACCATGACTATGAGCGAGATGGGCTGAAAGAAAAGGTTTACCAGATGCTCCAGAAGTGGCTGATGAGGGAAGGCAATAAGGGTGCCACAGTGGGAAAGCTGGCTCTGGCGCTCCACCAGTGCTACCGAATAGACCTGCTGAACCTCTTGAAACACGCCAGCCAGAGCTAAGCCTGGGGGCTCAGGCAGTGTGAACCAAACTGATAAATGAGCCCCCAGTGTGCTGCCCTCCAGCCTTCAGAACTCTTGACAGACTGCTGCATCCACACACACTGTATCATGCATCCCAGAACTGGAGAATGGGAAGAGAAATCCACAGTCCACAATGACTTTCAAGAACGTGCAGGCAGGAAGACCTTTGAATGGCCCAGGACCAATTGGAAAAAAAGAGAGAAGAAGCCTATTGGATTTTTGGATTTTGAAAGGGGGAGATGAGGTATTGGAGGAGGAAGGTGGTCTTCCTTCAGCACATGTCATAACCTTCTACTATACCATTCACTCAGTCCTGTGGTTTCATCTGAGTGAGGAAAAAAACATTCAGAGAATGTGTAATCAACTAACGACTTTGTGCTCTCTGAGAACAGTACAATTAAGTTCTGCTCATATGTCTTATGTGACAGCCACGGTTCTTTCTGAAACTATAGGCGCTCTTAATTTTAGTATCAATTGCTATATTTGTCACTACAGGCTTTAAGAATTTATATGCAATTCCAGTCTTTCATGTTAAATTATAAATTAATGAGGGATTTTTATGAAGTGCTAAGGAAGAGAGAAAAAGAGGGTAGAGGGAGTCCGTCAGTCTCCTGGCAGTTGTTGGAAGAACCGCTACTGATTTTGACAATTATAGAAATTCTACAGGAAGTTTTGGAATTTTTTCCTACCATTCTGGTGCTTCATGCAGTTTTCCAGCCTGTGTACCTTACAAAAGGGAACCAGTGTGCAGGAAATATTCATCAGGAAATATCTCTTCATTCCTACATGTGACTGTAGTCTCAGCATCCTCACTGTTGAGCTGTTTCCTCAGTTTATCCCACTGTACTATAGAAATCTGTTTATTTTCTTCTGTGTGCCATAAAGTAAAAAAGGACAGCTTCAGAGTCTGGTCATTGTGCCTTTAGAAAGCCCACCTGTAACTTAGCAAGGAGGGAAAGAACTAGAGTAGAAGACACGCCAAGATCAGTGGTGGCAGTTGCTAATCAGAGGGTATGCTGTGGTGCTCATCTTTGCCACAATGAGGGGAGCAAAGTGCAGTGATGTTCAGTCTGGCTGTCAGAAAAGATTCTGGTGTCTTGGTTGATAACAGCATTGTGAGTTCCGAATCTGAATCTCCTTCAGCCTTGCAGATGCACAGCATACCCTGGAGTGGGCTGAAAAGCAGCTTTGTCCCCATTGGCATCTTGAGCTTTGTCATCCCCCACTGTGGGGCTATCTCCTGCCTTATATGATGTTTGGAAGCACTCCTGGCCTCCTCTACAGCATGCCAATAGTACAAGTTCCTGCCCCTGCCCCCGGGTCTCTAATATTGTCACATGCTCTGGTTTGGTTTCTATTGCTGTGATAAACATAATAAGCAAAAACAACTTGGGGAGGATCTTACAGTGTACAGGCCATCATCAAAGGAAGCCAAGGCAGGAGCTGAACCAGAGATCATGAAGAACACTGTTCACTGGCTTGTTATCAAGCTCATGGTCAGCTACCTTTCTTATATAGCCCAGGCCCACCTGTCCATGGATGATATCACCCATAATGGACTTGGCCCTCCCACCTCAATTAGCAATCAAGAAAATTCCCCCACAGCCATGCCTACAGGACAAGCTAATAGAGGAAGTTCCTCAGTTGAGGTTCACTCTTCCTAGGTGTGTCTAGGCTTGGGTCTGGCTGACAGCTGAAGTGAATATGACACCATATGTTCCTTGGAAGGACCTACTGTTATGTAATAGTATGCTATATAATAGTTCTCCTGTCACAAAGACTAGGTTCACACCTTAACTGCAAGGTAGCATAGGGCATGTGCATTAAAAGGGAAACAGGAGCAGGGAAGGGTCCCAGTTTTTCAAGAGGAATCTGGATAGTCTTTGAATGTGTTCTACCTACCTCTGTTCTAATGCTGTTTTAAGAAGACAAAATTGGAAAGTATTTTTAATGGAATTTTTTAAAAATAAATTTCTGGGAAAGCCAGAGCCAGTTCACCGGAATTGCAATGGTGATCAGGGTCCTAATCTATTATGCCTATAACAGAGGAGCTGTCAGGCTGTGAAGGGGAGGAACCATGTGGCCATTGCTGCAAACAAGATGCTTCAGGGTCCAGGGTCAGTAGTGATCATGGACTTCCAGATCTTTTCATGGGTGACTAGCTATACATCATCCTGTCCATTGCTACCTATATCCTGACAGCTGCCCAGCACCTCAAGCTATGACTTGTAGGAGTTGAAGGACAGTCAACAGATGAGGGCTTACACCCTCATAAGCATGGTGGCCAACCTCTTGGGAGAAATAATTTGGCCCTTGCTGCACAGAGCATTAGTAGATTGGACCTGAAGACCTTTAAGCCCTTCATGTGCCCTCTGGACCTCATTGGCTGCACCATGGTGACTGATGACTTTGTAGTTGGTTGCATATGTTCTGAACACATGTATGGGATGTGGGAGTCTCTCTGGAAGCTCAACATGGATCCAGAGGATCTGTTTAAAACCACTTTCCAAGGAGGTGCTGGAAAGATGGCTCATGGTTAAAACCACCTCCCAAGTCATGCCAAATGCTGAGAACTGGATGCAGTATCAGGAATGGGTGTCATCCACATCATTGAGAAGGACAAGATTGCCACCAGGACACTGAAGGTACAAATGGATTAAACCTGTTCCCAGAGCCAGGGTTTTTGTTTTATTTTGGGGTTTTTTTTGTTTGTTTGTTTTAAATATAACCTTTCCAGGACACTGAAGGTACAAATGGATTAAACCTGTTCCCAGAGCCAGGGTTTTGTTCATTTTGAAAAAATGAAATGAAAATTTGTACCTTAAATACAGGCCACTGAAGTGGTTTGTATGTGGCTAGGCTGTACTGCTCAGCTTGCCTGGCCCTGTGCATTCCCCTTTGCCCTTCTCTGCTGGCAGGAAAAGGGACACTGATGTGAAAAGGGTGCCCCCCGGCAGAGCATTCTGTCCCCAGGACCAGAGACCAGCAGCATCGCCATCCTTCCACAGGGCTCAGAGACCTTCCTTCAACTCTGCTCTGAGTGTCACCCTGAAAAGAGCCTTATTTGCCTCTTAGAGGTTTCAGTGCAAAGCCAGGCTCCACCACTGTACTTGGGCAGAAATCAGGTAAGCAGGGAGAACCAGACCAGAAAATGAGTGGATATTCTCCACTTGTTGGCTTCAAGCATAGGTTTTCCATTTGCTGTGATGTAATCCTTACTTTTCTTCTATCATGTTGTTAAGAAAAGGAGTTCTATCTATTTGAATGTACTTTTTTCTGTTTTTGCTTTTTAATGAGTTGTAACAACAAAAGACCTTTTAATCATTTGAAAGATATTTTCAACTATTTCACTTTGAGATAATGAAGGTTTACAAATGACCTGCACTTGTACTCCTCACTGGGGAAGATAAAGTTGTTGTCCACAAGTAACATGCATACTAAGAATGTCCTGTATTTGTTGCAGTTGCTTTAAAATGGATGGTATGCTTGTTCTTGCTGTGAACTTGCCATACAGAATCATAATGCAAGTAGTACAGAGACAGCCTAAGAGGTGCCAGACGCTGCTCTGTAATCCACAATGGTGCAGCTGGTTTTAACCATTCCCTTTTCTTCTAGACTGAAATACAAGCTAGAAAGAAAAGGCTCCTTGATTCAAATTGGTACTCTTTACAAGAAGATATTGTATAATTTCTCATTAGAATTTACAACTATATGTAAACTGACTGCTTATACCTTAGCATAATGTAATGGACATAAAGTAAACGTTTTGTTTTTTGTTTTTTGTTTTTTTGGTCTTTTTGAGACAGGGTCTCCCTGTAGCCCCAGCTGTTCTGGAACTCACTATGTAGGCCAGGCTGGCCTTGAATGCACAAAGATCCACCTGCCTCTGCCTCCTGAGTGCTAGGATCAAAGGCATGCGCCACCACACCCGGCTTTAAAGTAAATGTTTTTAAATGCTTTAATATTTAACTTCATGCAGAATAAATAAAGATGACCAAAAAAAAAAGCTTAAACAATGCAAATATTTCACAAAATTTGTTATACAAAAACAAAAAACAAAAGGAGGGCCAGCAAGATGGCCTTACTCAGTGGGTAAGGGTGTGTGCTGCCAAGCCTGATGACCTGAGTTTAATCCTTGGCACCCACATTAGGGTAGGGGAGAGCTGATTCCCACAGTTGTCCTCTGATCTCCACATAGTTGCTGTAGCACAGGTACACACAAATGAATAAATGAATAAAATAAATAAATAAATAAATGTAAAAGAAAAGGGCTACTAGGTGATGTTTGAATATACAAATTGGCATCATTTTAGTCGACATGCTGTTGTCATCTATGAACAGAGAACAAAGAAAACAAAATAACTAGATTTTAGTCACACATTTCTTCTGGAATTTCATATAGCTGAAGGACACCTGTACACATAAAATAAATTTTTAAAAATTTTAGGTTCATGGTGTGTTGAGGATACTCTTCAAAACTTATCATATTCATCGTGCAGATGTCATCTTTTTTTCTGTAAGTTGACCATGTCCCTTTAGAAAGATGGAGAAGAGCTTGTGAGATGGCTCAGTGGTTAAGAGCACTTACTGCTCTTGCAGTGGATCTGGTTTCAATTTCCAGCACCCACGTGGTAGCTCACAACTGTCTATAACTCTAGTTCCAGGGGATGTGATGCCCTCTTCTGTCCCCTGCAGGCACCAGGAATGCATGTGGTTTACATACATACATACATGCAGGCAAAACATTGATACACATAAATAAGTCTTAAAAATTAAAAAAAGAAAGATGAAGAGAAGTAAACAGTTTTACTAAAGTTCTGTTCATCTTTTCCATTAGAGAATGCAAGCCCAGCATTAGTATTCAATGGAGGAAGCATCCATTTTAGCTGCTTCATTGTGCGTATGAATAGTGTTAAAATTGTCCTCACACTGGTTTACATGCATACCAGCCATCTCTGTGAGGCACTTTAAAGAGACATTTTGAAACATTGTCTGGAACTTCTGGGACTTATAAATTAATGTGCTAGTTAACTTGGTTTCAAAAATACATACCAATGGAATCCAGATCAGAAATCTTAACAGTGTTTCCAGGGTTGTGGGTATGAGGGAAGCATTTTGAGAACTTTCTATCACACACTGACAATAGTGAAATGCTAGTGAGAGCTCACTGTGCACGCTGCCTTTAAAAAGCTTTGCTTTTACATGGTTTATCCACTAGAGAAATCAGATGCATCTTCACTCAAGTTTAAGGATCACCATTCTATGATTAGTATCTTTTTTTAAGACTTTTTTTTTTAATTTATGTGTACAGGCATTTGAGTTCCCTTGGAGGCCAGAAGGGGGTGACTGATCCCTAAGGGCTGGAGTTAAGAACAGTTATGAGCCACCTGAAGTGGGTGCTAGGAACTGAATGTGGGTTCATCTGGAAGAGCAGCAAGTGCTCCTAATCACTGAGCCATCTCTCCAGGCCCTTCACCATATTCTGACAAAGACTTTCACTGGTCCAACTTGCTCCAACAATGTCACTGATAAAAATGGCCCAGTGCTTGGGCTGCTCTTATCTGAACAAGAATCTTACTTCTCAATGTACACTTTTTCTCTATACAGGTTGGGCCAAATGACGACTTGATAATGAGACCAACAACACATTTTTTTATTCCTTCACATTGGTTTCTTGGAAGAATCTTCCACCTTGTTTTTATCACATTTTCCAAAGTTTTGTGTTTATAATCTCTGAAAATTCCAATATTGTCCACACACCTGGCGTTTTAAGTGTGTTAGTACATCTTGTGCCTTTTTTTTTGTTTGTTTTTTTTGCTGTAATTCCAGCACTTTGGAAGTTGAGACAGGAGGAGTATCCCAGGCCAGCTTCTGCCACAAGAGACCACCCTCGGTGCCTCCTCCAGGGTAGAAACAGTTTATCACATTAAAAGATTGGTATCTAGTTTGGGGCTGACATGGTCAGCTAACATTGTCATCATTGCTGACAAAGATCACCAGAAATTGAATCAACTGCATCCTTTATCCTGGTTTAGAGCCAGGGAAGGTGAGGGTGAGGTGAGGAATAGGGGAGGAAATCAAGATGGGTTTTATAGTTTCCCCACTTTCAAAAGGAAAATTTAAAACTAGGGGGAAGGGGAGAGCTCAATATTTCTTCCAGGGACATCTCCACCCAATACACTCACACACCATCAAAAAGGGGGAATTAATCTGAGAAATAAAATGCTCCAGTCTGAGGAGTGATGAACAGCGATCCCAAAGATGATCCAATCACAAGGTGGGGCAGCAGAAAGGAGGAGAGTCCACATAATGTGGACATGACAAAAGACCACACTCTGTGTTGCCAGTTGCAGTCAGATCCCCTGTCCCCCATCACAATATACTGTTACAGAAAAATTCTTCAAACAGCACAGCAACCAAGCACACACTGAGGGGAGAGTTGGGAAACTGTCATTCCTTATGCATGAAGTCCCCAGTAAGCAACAGATGATTGTTAGATTCTGGGACCCATATCTGTAGTACAGGTGAGGATTTTATAGTCAATTTTATGCCATCATTTTATGATTATTAGCACCTGGGCCCTGTGTTTCTTTTCATGATGTCTCATGTTATTTCGGGAAATTCCTTCCTGAGTTCACTCGATAAACAGTTTTTAAAGTGGGTATCTTTGGGGCTGGAGAGATGGCTCAATGTCGTTAAGAGCATTGGCTGCTCTTGTGGAGGACTGGGATTCAGTTCCCAGCACCCAATGGCAGCTAACAACTGTCTGTAACTCCAGTTCCAGGGGATCTGATGCCCTCTTCTGACCTTCACAGGCATTACACAACACAGTTGCACTTACATACATGTAGGCAATACACTTATACACATTAAATAAGGAAATATTTTAAAATTAAAAAAAATTTTTAAATAAATATCCCAGGTGTGAGTCTGGACATCTGCCTTTTGATCTACAACTCAGCCAGGCTAATTGGGCCAGAACCCAGTCAAATAGTCATTTCAGTTTACAAAAATCATGTATCAACAGAAATTTAGATTTCTGACACATTTGATCTATACTTTTCTTAGACTAATTGAACCAGGTGTCATTAATGCATTTGGTGAACTTTCCATACCCTCAACTTACATCCTTATCAATAGACATAGTGGGTGCTAAATATCATAAAGCTTCAAGGCGTTAGTGCAGAGTAATAAAACATCTCAGGGTAATGCAGACATCACAGTACTAAAACATTTCTGAGCATCCCAGGGTTACATTCCAAAGTATCTACCTAGTAAGTAAAACAGGAAACCACAAAATAATCTAAACTTAAAAGGTTATATAGAAAGTTCTATAACTTTTCCTCATCGATCTGGCACTGGGACCCCTGCCCAGGCTCACCCAAACTTCCCCCTTCTCTTGTTCCCAGCAACTGCTGCTTTCCCCTCCTGGGCTTGGTGGTTGCACAGACTGCTGCAGCGAAGAGGAACCTGCAAGGGCAATAGGGATGACGCTCCCTTAGTTTCAGCCACCGCTGCAGTCACATCTCCTAGAGACTCAAGCTCGGAACCTCTTGAAACCAGTTGGGACTGGGAGATTCCAACTCAGTTTTCAGCCTGTGGTGCAGGAAAGTGTTTCCTCTGTACATTTTAATGTGCCATTTAATAAAACATTTTGTAATTATTATGTAGTTTCCACTTTCAACACTCTATAAGCAGCTGATTATAAAGAATTGAGCTAACACTACTACAATGTAGCAACTCAACCCACCCTAACGAAACTAAACAGGTCTGAATGCCCCTCTACAGCTGTGAGGGCTAAGGCTTCCTCATGCCATTCTACATCTATAATGGGATAGGTTCAGTTTCCAGCATCCACATGGCAGCTCACAACTGCCTGTAACTCCAGTTCCAGGGCTCTATAGCCCACTTCTGGCCTCCGTAGGCACCAGGCACACACTTGGTGCACTTATATACATGCAGGCAAAACACCCATACAAATAAAAGTAAAATAATTTCTTAATTTAGAAAAAAGCCTTAAGGCATTAATTCTTTTTCCTTCTGAGCTAAGTTGAAGAGATAGATGTGGAAAATGGAATATAGCCAGGTATGGTGGCACACGTCTTTAATTCCAGCATGAGGCAGGGGGATCAGGAGTTCAATGTCAGCTTCAGCTACAGTTCCAGGCCAGGTGGGACTCCCTAAGACCCTGTTAACAAAAGCAGAAAGCAATGAGTAGACCTTCTGAGGTTCATTTTTCCCTCAGGTGGGCTCTGCCTGGATGCCCACCAGGTGAGGGCAGAACAACAGGTGACCCTGCCTCCCCATAGCTTTGGACACCCTTGCAACTACAAGCACAAGTACGGGGTGGTACCACCTGGACTATCCACCGTGGGAGGTAGGGTTAGAGACCTCAAACTCAGTTCTAGGGCTTAGGTCTGGACGGGTCCGAGTTGGGGGCGTGGCATACGGGTCGGGGAGGGGCGGGGCCTGGTGAGGGGCCGGGTGAGGGCGTGGCTTAGCGGGGCGGAGTTTCCAGCTGGGCTCGCGTACATTCCGCGGTGAGACCCGGAAACATGGCGGTGGCGGTCTGTCGGGCCGCGCTGCAGCTGCGGCTGCTCCTTTCACCCCTGAAGCCCGGATCCCGGCCCACGGCCGCCTTTGGGTAACGGCGCGCTGGACACAGCGGGGGCGCGGGACGCAGGCCGGGGAGGGACAGGGGCGGCTCGCCGAGCTGTTGCGCGTGCACCTCGGTTCTGGGACTGGAGCGTAGGGGCCTCGGGCTATGGTCCAGCCTCGGTGTACAGATGGAGGACAGCTGGGAGGGCCGGTTGCTGGGAGCACAGATCCCAAGCCCCATGTCTGCTAGCTGGTTGCTGAAAACAGTAATTTTTACCACCTCAAAACAGAAATTGCCTGGCAGTGTCAGCGACCGTCTTCAGTCTCAAGGGCTCAAGTCTCCGGTGCCTTTCTTTGTTTGCTAATCTCGAACTTTGATGTGCAAGAGAAGCAGTTTGGGAACCTGTGTAAATTCAAAGCCCCAGAGGTTCTAACGTGGGTGTGCGGAGATGATCAGGAAACTGCATTTTCCACTTTTGTCCCACCCCCACACTCCCACCCTCGCCCTTAGATAAAACAATAACCAAAGCCGAGATTCATCACTAGCCTGCTGTCTTGAAAAAGGGTGCTCACAGATTCTGGGCAGAAAATGTGGAGAGATGGCCTGAAGCGTGCTTCTTTTCAACGTCTGCATAATAAGCCTGCACATAAGCATATCCGAGCCATGGAGGCATGTGGGGTAGCCAGTGCATGTGTCCAATTAACTGTAAACTCAGTTAACTGTGGGTAGGCCATTGACCCTAGTGACTTGGGGAGGGGGCGATGCGAGATGGAAATATGAAAATTGCTAATTTGAAAACTAAAAGTAGGGAGGGCAAATCTAACAAGTTTTTAAAATGTTCATGGTGTGATTGTGTAGCTCTTTGGTTTTATATCTAATTCAGGTTTCTTCAATTATTATTTTAGAATTATATAACTTTAGGACTTTTATACAGGTAGAAAAAGATGTCAGTTGCTGCAGTTATTGAAATCGACAACAAAAAATAGGCATTTAATACAGTGCCCTGAGTGCAGGAAGAAATTATGATAAAGTGACAGTGATGTGCTCATGTCATACATCTGATAGGCCATTTGTTGGCTGTGAAGAGTCCTGTCCGCCTGTGGTCTTTTCTTTCTGAAATACCTCTGCAAAATTGGTTTCCCTGGCCGTTTCATAAACACGTTCCTGCCATTTCATAAACATGTTCCAAATTAATATAGCCTGTAATCTGAGAAACAAGCCAGGTGCTGCTTAATCCCGAATCAAGGCTCTAGCCCCATGCCAAGGATTCTAAGCAGTCCTATAAAAACTGCTTCACAGCCAGTGTCTAACCCAATATTACCTGGGATGTGTGCCAGAAAGTTGCTTGTGAGTCTTTTGTTTGGAACTTTGACCCTTTCCTTAATAATCTCTAGGATCAGGTCAAAAAGTCTTCTTGAAGTAGCATGCTATGTCACTTGTGATATTAATAATTGACAGAATCTGACAGTCTGCCTGAAAAAAAAAAAAAGCAAACATTTTCGGAGTTCAACCTAAGGATGCTCTGCCAAAGAATCAGATCCAATCCTTCTCCAGATGCCTGCCTCCGTCCGCTACTTGGCAATTACGCTGAACACCACCCCTGGGCCTTTGCCCTATTGGGAATTCTGTTCTGCTATGAGATTAAAGAGAAATCTTGGCCTCGAGTTCAGACAGCTGTATTATCAACCCCTTCTAACTGTGTGAATGTGGCCAAGTTACTCAACCTCTCTGAGCTTCTGGCCTTGCAGAGTTTGTATCTGAAACCATGAAAACACCTGGATCACGATGCATGGAAGTAATTAGCAAGTACAATTAATAAGGATGCAAATAGAGTGTAAATAATAGTACAGTGTATAAAAGAAGCAAAACTAAGTCATCAAAATTCATGTCACTTCAAGCCCTGGCAGTAGATGATACTTCCTTGTGACTTGTGCTTACTTTATAAGAAGCAGGGAATCAATAAGGACTTTCAAAGTGCAGGTATATCTTATTAAGCACCTCCCATTTTCATCTCTAAGCAAGGTACTGAGGCCCAGACTCGGGGTCACACCCTCGGATCCTCAAGTAGGTCTGTGGGAACAGTGACAGCAAATTAGCTCCTTCACTAACTTCTAGCTTCTCTGAGGTCAGGTTAAGAATAGTGTATGCCTCAGAAGAAAATGAATGGCAGACATGAAGTAAATACTAGATTTAGTTTAGATACTAGATTACTAACTAATCACTAACTAATACTAGATTACTAACTAATACTAGATTAACTAATACTAATATTAGATTAATAATACTAATACTAGATTACTAATACTAGATTAACTAATACTAGTACTAGATTAACTAATACTAGATAACTAATACTAGATTACTAATACTAGATTACTAATACTAGATTACTAACAGCAGACACGAAGTAAATACTAGATTTAGTTTACTTATTTACCCCCAAGCTGTTATGCCCTAGACTGCTACACACTCACCTCTCCCTGTTTGAGGGGAGTAGACCAACTCCCTCAGAACCATATACAGAATTGCCTGTCTTGCCTCACAGGAAAGGGAGTTAAGGACAAACACAAGATGGGAGGACAGGGTTTGAGAGGCACTCAAGTCTCCCACTACTTGGCAATCACACTGACCACCACCCCTGGGCCTTTGCCCTATTGGGAACTCAGTTCTGCTATGTTGGAGTCTCGGGGGTGGGGATTAAAAGTTGTCTATCTCCCACTCAGATTTTGATGTAGTGGGACTGGGCTCACAGATTTAGAAAGCTGGCAGGTGATTCAAATTCAAAGTCTAAGCCCTGCTGAAATAGCAGGTGACAGGAGATATTTGGGTGATGGTGCCTTGAACTTGAACTTAGTGACATACCTACAGTCCAAGGTCTCCTCTATCCCCCCTCCTACCCCCATCTGTCTCTCAACAGGTTCTCACTATGCAGTCCTGGCTGCTCTAGAACTTGCTATGTAGACCAGGCTGGCCTTGAACTTGCAGAGATCCATCTGCCTCTGCCTCCCAAGTGCTAGTATTGAAGATAATGCACTTCCATAATCCTCTCTTCTCTTGAAAGACTCCACGTACTGCACACATAAGTGCTGGTAGCAGGTTATTTCCTGATCTCCTGTTAGCCTTCAGGCTTCAAGAGGGCATGTCTTTAGTGTCTTACAAGGTGTTCAAGAAACAAGTTTAGTAGTTATCGAAGCAACTACAGGGCTGTGCTCCAGCGTTACTGTCTCAGTTGTCCTAATTATATGGGTTTGTAAAACTTGACACAATCTCATAAACCTGTTTAGAGGACAGGTTGTTGGGGTCGAGAGAAGGGGGTTGAGAGGAGTGGAAAAGAAAATTCAACAGCCGAAAAGAAGGGAATGAATTTTCATTCTTTAAAATTTCGGTGGTTTTCTTTTTACCTGAGAGTTTGAGAAATCCAGTACTGAATGTGGTTCAGGTAGTTAAGCATGTGTGAGGGCCACTGAAGGTCAGGGCATGCCTGATCCTTTCAGCATGTACTTAGCTGTTCCAGCCACTGTCAGAGAGACTACCTGAGAAGCTGTAGCCAATACTGTGGGCTCATTTCAGCTATCCTGTATTTCTGTGCAATTAAGCCAGCTTTCAGTCACTCCGTTATTAAAAATAAACCTTTTCTTTATATTTGAATATATAGTTTACTTTTGTTTTTAAATAATTCTCTGCCCCAACCTTGGAGATTCTTGTTGAGTATTTGGCAGCCTCCTTTAACCCATGAAGTTGGGCTGGTGTGATTCAGGTACTTCTGGTAGGACAGCACACCAGATGCCTATGACATAGCACCATGGACAGTTTCCACCTCTGCAGAAGCCTCGCCATCCAGTGTGGTCCCTCCTCCTCTTCCTTTTTCTCTTCCCCTTCCTCTGCTTTCTCCATCTTGCCTAACTGAACCCTGCCCATTTTTGCCTTCCAGCAGTGCTATCCTGTGATATTCTTTTTCCAAAGTTTACCCTTCCTTGGAAGTTCATCACAAATGCTGCTTTTCTTTCCTCTCAGATAACTCTACCCAATCTGACATGACCTTTCTGCCTCTCTTCCAAAGCCACTTCCAAGCCTTCTGACTTTGGGAATCCTTCCCTGACATGGAGTTTTCAGCAAGCAGATCTCCAGCTACTGATGTCCTTGTACTGCTTACTGTTAGGCAACCAAGAGAATAGGAAGTGGTGGTAATTAGGGAGAAGGAAATTTGGAATGGGGAACCAAAACATAGATCCAGCCAAATGCAGGAGGAAGTTAGGTTTTTGATGGAAGAGGCTTGGCAATGATCAAGGAAAGATGCCTTTATGAACAGTGCCCTGGGGAGAGACAGGGATGCCCAGACCTTGGCAGCAACACCAGTCCTGAAAACCACCACCTTTGTGCATTGAGGAAGATGGGGGAGGGCTTCCATGGTACATAACACCTACATAGTGCAAAATGATTTTGACAAGCATATTCTTGTCACTGCAGAGAAGGAAGTCCTTAAATAATCTCTAGAGCATAGAAAGCAGTAAAGGGGGAAGATGGAACTATGTGCTTTATTGCTAATATGAGCTGTGTAAATGCCAGTCAGCTCTGCTCAGGGAGTGGTCTCATTTAGTGCCAGAAACAAGAAAGAATTTTTATCCTATCCAGGTGCCTCCTGCATAAGCCAGCCGTACCTGAGCAATCCTCTGTGTCCTTGTTTTCCCTCCTGCTGGGCTCACAGCACCAACAAGTGAATGGTTCAGAAGGGAGTCTTTGTTGGGAAAGTGTGTTATTTGCTTCTGTCTTGATTCTAAGATGCCTAAAGCTATCCTAACAGTAACGGTGAATTCTTCAGAGGAATAGGATGTTAATAACAAGTAAATTGGTGGATTCAGCACCATGCTGATGTTGCTTAATGGCTTTATTATTGCTCCTCTGATACATTAAGATAACAAGCTTATATTATTTTAGGACTTCTTCCCAGTTTTGCCTTATAGTTTTCTGGAAATTAATATGTTAAGATTAGATATACCAATACCCAACACATTTTTTCTATGTTCTTTAGTATTTTTGTTGTTGTTGTTTAAAGCAAGGTCTTACTGGGTAGCCCAGGTTGACCTTGATTTGTGACAGTCCTCTTCCCTCTGTCTTCTGAGTGCTGGGATTTCAGCCACCATGCCCAGCCTGTGCTCTTTATTACTTGAAGTCAGCAAATCAAATGAAACCAAGAAAGGAAACAAGGCATTGTGTTTTCCAAAGTGCCGCATTTCAGTAACCATTTTGACCAGGGGAAGAGATGGTCTGTAGAAGAAAGAGGAAGTCAGTGGTTGATTTAAATTTACAAGTCACAAGAAGAGGAACAGTTTTTGCTACGCCACTATGTTCTGCATGTCACTGCCCTCTAGCAGGCAAGTGTGCAGGAAGGCCTGAAGGAACCTAGGTCTGAGGCCTTGCATGTACCAGTGTGCATCCTTGGACAGTTTGTCTTGGAGCTTCCTGAAGAGTATCTGTAGGGAACACCTGTCCCTCAGGCAGGATACATGCTGCCGGTAGCTCTGTCTGGAGACCTTGTCCTGTGCCAAGTGGAGTCAAGTTAGGGCCACGGGAGGCCCATGGACATGGCCACTTACCAGCCAACAAAGGAATATGTCAGTATCTTTTTTTTTTGTATATTTTTTTATTGAATTTTTGTGTATTTCATATGAAACATTCTAATCATTTTTATACCCCCTTCCCCAGGAGCAACCTTCCATATCCCTCTCCCACACACTGGATTTCATGTACCTGTCATCTACATTAAGTCCTATCAAGTCAGGTTAGTGTCCCTCAGTGCAAGTTTATTCACTGGGGTCTAGTCAGCCTATCCAATCACTCCCTTAAAGAAGATCAGCTCTTCCTCACTCAACAGTAATCAGCTGCCCAATACCTCTTCTGCTAAAATTGGGGCCTGCTGCCCATTTCCACAGTTCTGTGCTGGTTTTTTGTCCACTTGAGTTTGCATGGGTCTTGTGCATGCTGTCACCATTACTATAAGTTCATATGAGCAAAGCCCCAGGAGCCTGTAAGATTCTATTTCCATATACTCATGCACCTCCTCCCTTGGCTCCTACAATTTTTTTTTTTTTTGAGACAGGGTCTCCTTGTAGCTCCAGCTGGCCTAGAACTCTCTATGTAGACCAGGCTGGCCTTGAACTCACAGAGATCGCCTGCCTCTGCCTCCTGAGTATTGGGCTTAAAGGCATCTGCCACCACTCCTGGCTGGCTCTTACAATCTTTTTGCCCCCTCTTCCAAAAGGGTCACTGAGCCCTGGGTGGGTGAAATTTAATATAGGAATCCTGTCCAAGAGTATGTCAACGTCTTAAAACACATAGCGGCCATGACTGTACAGGGAATGATTCCTGGCTAGAATCCCCAATTAGCTGGCCAGACAGCACAAGGAGCCCTGCTTCTAAAGGGCAGCCTGCAATTTAGGGCCTTCCCTGGGTCGTGGAATCAGTATCCTCAGAAAAGCAGGGCTACCACAGGTCCAGATAGCTGCTCTAGAGCTGTTGAAGTACATGCAGTGGCTCCAGGCCCCAGGCTTTCCAAACTCACCTTCATGTTTCACTGCGTGGAACCCCTACATCAACCTGCACATGAGTACTAGTGGCTTCTACCCCACCCCCACCCCACCCCAGCCCTAGGTCTGTAGATGTGGCTGTTCATTCCAGCAAACCTCTCAGGGATTTTGAAGGTTGAACCCCTGGGTGTTTCAGAAAGTTGAAACAGGAGGGAACTATTCAGATTTGCAGTTTGTTATGGAGAACACAGTCTGGATTGAAGAACTGGGGCACAAATCAATGCTGTAAGCCTAAGGACTGGGGAACTGGAGCTGGCTTGTGCATGTGAAAGGACAGTTTGCCATATTAAATGTCACTTTGGCACAATAATCTTCCTCTGGGAATTCTTCCAGCACTGCAGTGACCTCCGGCAAGGTGGCTGTGAATGGCGTTCACCTGCATTACCAGAGAGCTGGAGACGGGGAGCATGCGGTCCTGCTACTTCCTGGGATGCTGGGTACGCATGGGGTTTAATGGACTGGTTCTTCAGGCTGTATATTATCCATGATGCATCACGATGCTAGATGCCAAGTATTGTAAGGAATATTTTCTGCACTCAAAGTTGAATGATTTAGAAAAGTAAATAATTTTCCACTGTATGAATTTTTTATTCCCTTACTTGTTTCCAGGGGTTTTCCAGAATAGGAGACTTGAAGTGCTAAAATGAGGAAGGTTTTCACTGCTATGTTTGATTTGATTCTTTAATGAAAGTAAAAAGTAAGGGGAAAGTAATCTTAAAGTCTTGAGACAAGGTCTCATTATATAGCTCAGGACTGCCTTAACCTCACAAATACTGAAATGTCAGGCTAGTGTCACCATTCCTGGCTGGTTTAAAATCTTTTTAAAAATCAAAATCAGAGCAGCACATTGCCCTCTCTCAATGTGTGGGGTGTAGTGGAGCCCATAGAATTTCAGCCTTTTTTATAAAACAGTCATCCAGATATAGAAAGTTCAGGAGAAAAATTTACAGTGATCTCAGGACATTCAAAATGTAGTTGCTAGGCCAAGCATGGTGGTGGTGCATATCTTTAATCCCAGCACTCAGGAGGCAGAGGCACATGAATCTCTTGAGATCAAGGTCAACCTGTTCTGTAGTAGGTTCCAGGCCAGCTGGGGCTACAGAGAGACCCTGTCTCAAACACAAATAATAATAATAATAATTAAAAAAAACCCTGTTGTTTTTCTTGAAACAAGGTCTCACTGTGTAGCCCTGGTTGGCCTGAAACTCATTAAGTAGACCCAGCTGGCCTTAAACTCACAGAGATCTACCTGTTTCTATCTCCTGAGTGCTGGGATTAAAGGTGTGCACTACTACACCGGGCTTTGAAATCTAGTTTTAAGGAGTTTAGAATCGCTTACTCATTTTTAGATATTTGTATAATCCTAGTACATTCTTCTTTCTCCCAAAAGTCAAGCACTAAAATTTTTAATTAATTCCTGGTTCTACTTGACTAGGCCTCAACTGATAAAATACCACTATAGCATGTGAGCATCTCGGAACAGAAAATGTTTAGTACCTTTTCTCTAGGCTTCTGTTCTCATTTACATTTCTGTACATTTACTCTTATAACATCAGCAAAAGCAATTGACCAAATTAGATTTCTATTATTTCAGAACTACAGTCATTAACTACATACCCACCAGTATAATTTTTCATTTATGTAGAATCTTGGCATGATTCCAGAGTTTTAAAATGGAACAGTTAGAGTCTCTCTCTTATCTGATCCCCCCTATATCCAGTCCCCCTCCCATGGACCATTCAGATATCATGTACTGATAACTATGTATATTCCCTAAATACTTGTTTAAGGTTTTGGTATAAAAATACCAAGAGGCCTTATTCTTCAAATGCATATGAATGTGCCAGAAAGCAAATGTCTGTTTATTTGTGAAACAACTCTTTTCTCCTTCTCCCCATCCCTTACCTCTGCCCCTCCTTCAGGGTTCTTCCCTCAGCAGTAGACAGGGGCGGAAATCCATTAGTTTGTGGTCTTGGCTTGGGTTCCTTTGAATGAAGTTGAAAACAGTAAGTGATCCTGTCTGCCTGGAAAGGACCTTTCCAATATAGCTGATCACCAGGTGGTATGTAGTATTTATTTGTGGCCTGAGCTCTGAGGACTCAGAAATAAAGCGAACTGTATAGTAAGTGTTGACCTGACCCTAGATAGAGCTCTGGGTGAATGGCTTCTTATGCCTCAGGTGGTCAAGTGGGAGCTGGGGACTGCTATTTGGGGCCACCACAGGAGATTTGATAAAATAGACTCATTTAATTTCTTACACACACACACACACACACACACACACACACACACACACACACACACTCTTCAGTGTTTTAATTTAGCTCTCTAGTTTTCTTGTGTATATTACACACACACACACACACACAAACACACACACACTCTTCAGTGTTTTAATTTAGTTTTCTAGTTTTCAATTGTAACTAAAAAATAAAATCTTAAGAGCCATTCATATTTGCTTAGTGGAAAAAAAATCATCTGGAATTTTAGAATTCTACATGGATGTCATCGCCATCATTTCTAAGTCATTTTTAAAGATAGAGAAGACCTAGAAACGTATCATATCTTAAAGTTCGTTTCTATGCAGTTCAATTGAAGGATAGGCAGAGAACTAACCTGAAAAGGTATCAAAAGTGCTCCAGGAATACTTGTTCAAAACCTAGACTCTGGGCCCCTTGTCATTCTCAAGGTCGCCACTAGGGGGAGATAGAGGCCGGTCTGAACTCCACCAGGAATGGAAACCCACCTCTGGGTCCAACCATTGCAAGACAACTTTCCTAATTATGTTGCAGTGGCTAGTTTTGAATAGAACTGAGTACTTTGTTTTAAGATTGGTACTGCTTCTGTTTCCCTCGGGTATGTTTGAGACAGTGGAAACATTCACTAGCGTGTAACCAAGTGACTGTTTCTAGGAAGTGGAGCAACGGATTTTGCACCTCAACTTCAGAACCTAAGTAAGCAGCTCTTCACAGTGGTGGCCTGGGATCCTCGAGGATATGGGCATTCCAGACCCCCAGATCGAGATTTCCCAGAGGACTTTTTTGAAAGGGATGCAAAAGATGCTGTTGACTTGATGAAGGTGAGGCCTGTGAAAGTGCTGCAGAGCAGGAGAAGATCGCTGGGCCTATCTTCAACTTACTCTAATTTCCATTGTTCTTTCTTTCTTCATTTCATTCATTATTTCTTTGTCTTTACTTATTCCTTCCTTCCTTTCTTTTCCACAATGGTAATAAATGTGAGTGTTACATAAACTATATCTAGAGGAAGAAGTAGTTTAATGGCTTTACTACCAAGACCTCGAGCCTCTGCCTAGAATTCTGGCCAATTTCATGGCCAATGTCAATACATGGTTTTTGTTTTGCTTTGCTTTGCCTTGTCTTCTGTTTTTTACTGAGACAGGTTCTCGTATAGTCTGAGCAGCCATGAAATCACAATCCTTCTGCTTCAGCCTCTTGGTGCTAGGATTACAGGTCTACATTACCACACAGAAAAATGCAGTTTCATATTGATGTAACTGGGTCCCAAACCAGAGGCCTGACTCCAGCTTAGGGGAGGAAAGGGTCTATTTGGCTTCCTGGGAAACCAAGCAGGAACCTGGAAGCAGAAACTGAAATAGAGGAATGCTGCTTCCCTTTTTCCCAAGCTCAAGTCAGCTATCTTCCTTTCTTCTATAGCCCACCTGCTCAGGGATGGCACCTCCCACAGTGGGCTGGGCATTCCTGCATCAACTAGCAATCAAGAAACTGCCTCACAGACATGGCCATACTCTGATCTGGGAAATTCTTCAGTTGAGGTTCCTTCTTCCTAGATGACTCTAGGTTTGACTAGATGACTCAAGTTGACAGCCAAAGCTAACTGTGACAACAGGCTTACATGTAGAATTCAGCAGAAATTTGACCCTAGGTAAAGAAGATACAAAATGAAGATGGAGAAGCCCAGCTTTTATTCAGCTTTTAGTTACCTTATGGGCTCAGGTGAGGAGTCAGTGCTTTTTAGCAAAATAACAATATCTAAGTACCTGGATTTTTTGTTTGACTATTTTGGTTTTTTGGGGTAGGATTTTGCTGTGTAGCCCTGGCTGGCCTCAAATTCACTGCATAGCAGGCTGGCCTCTACCACCTGTGTGCTGGTATGACAGGTGTGTAGTGTTGATGGCAGCATACTATACCTTCTATTCATCTAATTTTCTGTCTTAAATTTGTCAAGGAGAGAGTTCCTTATTGATAACTATGCAGTTGCATGCTACACTGTCCCTGTCATACATGGTTTCACCTCCACGGCCAACTGTGGTCTAGAAATAGTAAGTGGAAAATTCCAGAAATGAACAATTCATAAGATTTTTTTGTTTTAATTTTAAACTAAATTTATTTTAGCTTATAAATTAAAACATAAAAATTGTACATGCCAAGGTGTGTTTCAATACATGTCTCTACTACATAATTCAAATCAGATAAACATATCTGTCTCCTCAAACACATATCATTTCTTTTTTTTCCTCTTTGTGTATATGTGTGTATGTATGTGTGTCCATGTATGTGCAGGTGCATGTGTGTGTAGGCGGGTGCAGAAAACAATAATAGCTGTTGTTGCTCAATTGCTGACCACCTTGCTTTTTGAAACAGCGTCTCCATTTAGGCTGGGCTAGCTGGCTGGCAAGCCTCTTCCTGTCTCCACCTCCCAAGTTCTGGGATTACAAGTATGCACCACCATGCCTGGCTTTTTATGTGGGTCCTATGGGCTCAAACTCAGATCTTCATGCTTACGCCACAAGCACTACGGATGGAGCTATCTCCCCAGCCTCCAACATTTATCATTTCTTTATGGGAAAAGCTTTCAAAACACATCCTGCTGTCTTTGAAATGCAAGTTCATTAATGTTATCTGTAGTCACTCTGAGTTTTAAATCCCGTGCCATTCTGAGTGGTACAGTGAAGTCTGATACTGTCCACCCCATCCTCTCCATCCCACTCAGGATGCGAGTCATCTACACTACTGCATGTATACAGTATGGTTAGCTTTCGGTACCATCTGTGTTACAAGGCATCCATGAGGGGATACTAAGGGTTTCAAATGTATCCCCAGTAGGTTAGAGGTAGCTGTTGTATGTCACTGTATAGATTTCACTGTCATTTCCATGTCACATCTAATTGTTAACTTAATTTCAGGTTACTTTTTGTTGTAAATAGAAATACAGTCAACACTCTGCTGCTCATAGGCATTTTAATTCTCACTTTTTTGAGTGATTATGAACAGGGATGTTGTGTACATCCTGGGTCTATCTCCTAGTAAATGTGCCAACATTCCAGATGAATTCAGGAAGCAGTGTTCTAGGCTGCAGAAGATGCAAATGCTCATTTTACATATTGATATCAGATGTGTAGCGAGAGTACAGACACCCATCTGTAATCCCATCAGCAAGTATCCTGCCTCCTATTTGCTAGTTCTTTAATCTTCCCAAGCACTCTGTTTGTACTTCTAGAAAGCTCCCCCCAGATGCTGTGTCACTTTTCTCCAATAAGCACGTTTTCAGGTCCTGGTGGATTCATGAAAGGACAGATGCAGGTGCACCTGGCACTTGTCTGCAGCCAGCTCTGCCCACAGTTGCAGCAGTGGCTTCTCCAGGTGCCTTACTTCACTTTACCCAGCCAATCTTAAGCTCATCTCTCATCTACAGAATTGCTCTCAGAGCCCTGCTCAGGTGCCCACACAAGGTGCTTGCTGTATCCAAACACAGCTGATTTCTGCTGATTCTGTTCTTTGACATTTTATCCAACCAGAGGATTACTTCTTGCATACATCAAAATAATACTGTGTACTCAAGTTTTACATTTATACCAAAGCTCAGTGACGCTTGGTCCCCACGTGATGGACTCTGGAATTCTGATCACCATGACTGTTCCTTTAGCAGAGAGGTGCACTGACCCGCACTCTGCATTCTGCTGTGCTTCTCACAGGCGCTGCAGTTCAAGCAGGTCTCCCTCCTGGGCTGGAGTGATGGTGGCATAACTGCGCTCATCGCTGCTGCAAAGTACCCATCTTACATCCGCAAGATGGTGATTTGGGGAGCGAACGCCTACATCACTGAGGAAGATGTCAGGATTTACCAGGGTGAGCTGGCGACAAGGTGACGATCCTCCTCATTCCCCTCCTCTTGTTTTGATATGTATTGACAAGTCATATCTCATCCACTTCCAGTTCTTACCTCCAAGGTCGAAAGAATAATGCATTCCCAGAAAAGTCATGCAATTTAACCAGCCTGGAAATAGTTTTCTATTTCCGGAAGAGAAGCTTGTATGACTCAGGCAAAGGCTAGGGAAGAGCAGTATTTACGTCTGCTCCACAGATAGTGAGCTGAGAAAGAAGGAGGCTGTGAAGTGTTACTCATAACCTCGTTTACAATAATGTGAAAGCTGGTTGTGGTGGTCCATGCCTGTAACTCCAGCTACTTTGGAGGTTAAGGCAGGTGGATTCTGAATTTGAGCCCAGTCTAGGCAGCAAACTATGACCTTGTCTCAAAAAAAAAAAAAAATCATGAATGAATGAACAAATTGTTTAGTTACTTTTCTGTTGCTGTAATAGAAACACCATGACCAAGGGAACTTATAAAAGGAAAAGTTTATTTAGCTTATGGTTCCAAAGGGGCAAGAGTCCATCATGGTGGGGAGGCATGGCGGCAGAGGTGGCTGGTAGGAGCAGAAGCTTAAGTGCTCACATCTTCAGGCAGGCACAGGAAGCAGAGAGCAACTAGAGATCTGGCAAGGCTTAAGAACTCTGCAAGCCTGCCCTCAGTGACGTGCTTCCTCCAGCATGGCCACACCTTCTAAGACCTCCCAAACAGCAGCACCAAGTGAGGACAAGCTGCTCAAGACTTGGAGCCTATGGGGGACATTCTCATTCAAGCCACCACATGACTATAATGAGTAGGAAAGGAAGCACTGGGTTCAGAAATGAACCCTATGTTTTAGTCACAAGAATCTGTGCTCCTTTAAACTTTTCCTTGAAGTTTATAGAGACATAAGAACAGGGTCAAGTAGCCTATGGTTCAACTCCGGCCTGCCATCTGCTTTTGTAAAGCCAGGGCACCAGTGAAGAGCTAGTCCTATGAGTTATGGATGCCAAGCTGGGACCTCTATCCTCTATTCCTCATTTCTCCCAGAATTGCTGCCCTGGCCGGCACGATAGCCAGAGACTGGGCAGTGTTGGCAGTTTCTAGGCACCCAGCCATGGGATTGCTCAGCCTCTGGCAAGCTGTCCAGTTTGAGATGATCTTGGAAGGCAAGGTACTCCAGAGTTTTGGGGGTCACTGGGGAAAAAGTGAAGCTCTCTGGGCTTCCCCACCACCCTCACCTGACACCAGGACCCTCACTTTCTGACTGGAAGCTTTTTTTATGTCTCTAGAAGACCCCACATGGACCACCCCAGTCAGTTAGGTCCAGGTGGGTTCGCATTTTCTCTATGCAGATATAAGTGTCTACACTATGTCTCTGGTGGGCCTCTTCACCTGCAGAGCTTGAACCATGTATCCTCTGGCCCTGAGAGAATTTTGCAGATGCTACACAAGCTGGGTGTTTTTCAGCTGTTCTGCCATTCATGTGACTTAGTAAGCTACTCCATGGCCAGCTCCTAGTCTAGAATCTTAGTTCCTTATGGTCTTTCTGGTTTATCAAGCAATCTGAAACTTCTTTTAAAGATTTTATTTTTATTTTTCATTGTGCACATTCATGCACATGTCTGAGGCCAGAAGAAGGTGTTGGATCCCCTGGAGCTGGAGTTACAGGTGGTTATGAAATGCCCTATGTATGTGCTGGGAACCAAACTCTTGTCCTGTACAAGAGCAATACACTCTCTTAACCACCGAGCTGTTCTGCAGCACCAAGATATATGAAATTCTTTAGTGACATGATTTAGACCAATCCTAATCTGTCCTCTGCTTGTCCTCACTGCCCTCCCGCCTGCCCAGAGTCTACCTTGTGCAGACTTTATTGCCCTTTATGCACTCCTGCTGTTGAGGCCAGGATGCCTTTGGTTCTTCTGAATCCTTGACTTCTCTCACTGGACCCTTCCTCTCTGCCTCAAAGGGGAACATGATTCCTCCTCTAAAACACATTGGTAGTTTGTGTCGACTCTTTTTTTAGTTAGGCAGTCACTGATTTGTCAAGAAAGCAGCTTTTGGTTTCGTTGACTTGGTTCTGTTTTCCATCTTCAGTTCAGTTTCAGTTCTTTTAAGTTCATTCAGGTTTACTTTATACCGCAGAACATGGACTGCTTTGCTCTGAGGTCGAACTGTTTCATGACTTTTTCCATATCGCACCTCTGTCCACGTTCTTTCCACTGTTATACACGCTGAACAAGTGTAAACCAGAGCCTGAGACTCCCCTTGAGGCTCAGTCCTCTGCCCTCTGCATCTCATGGAGACTATGTTCTGTTGATACTACAAATGCCTCCCAACCTATTTCCTCCCCTTCTCTTCCCCTCGATCTCTTAATTCAGACCCTTGGCCTCTTACGGTCCTTTGTCCTCCATAGCTGAATGCCCTTCCTAAGGCAAAAATCAATTCATTCCATCTCCTACTTAAAAACCTCTAGTAACTTCAAAAAGTCCACTCAGCTGGGCTGGCCCCTGGCAGTCTGGCTTCACCCAACCTCTTCTGTTCTGTCTTCCTGTGTCTCCAGCATTGTTAAGCTGCCTTTCCTGAATGTACCTTCCCCTCCTTCTTCTGTGCCCTGGCGCCTGCTGATGTGGCAGCTTGTGTCCTCTCCCAGCCACACCCTTGTCAGCAGTCCTGTCTTCACACCCATGCCCATCTCCCAGGGTACTGCCTCTGAGAAGTCATCCCACAGCCCTTAGGCCTGGTGGCATTCTTTCCTGTAATGTTTTGCACCTGCCTGAGCAGGCTTCATCGTGAGCATTGTCAGCCTTTTACTCCTTTGCCACTGCTTTAGGGTACTCCTGCTTTAGACTTCCCCGCTCTGGGAACACAAAATAAAAGGCTTGATCCCACAACACTCCTTACTGTCCAGTGCTTTTCTATTTCCCTCTCTCTCCACTGTTGCCACTTCCTCATCCCCCAGCCTCTGCTTGCCTTCTGCTAAGGTGGCCTCTGACCTACCAGTCCAGTGGAGATAGTATCTTTCATGTAACCAAACCCCCTGGACAAAGTATTCTTTGTTCATGCTGCATCATTTGAAAACAGGCTCATGATATGTACAATGTAGATCACACCCTCTTCTTGAACTTCCTCTGGGTTGAATTTCTAGCTGCAATGTATTCTTGGCACTCAACCCTCTCTTTCTCTGGCTTTGACGCGTGGGGCAGAGTCATTAGATCTTTAGGAGCCATCTTTGCTGCTCTGATCCTCTTCTCACTTTTACTTGTGTATGCCAGTGTGTGTGTGTGCATGTGTATGTGTGTGCAGGTATGTGTATGTGAGTGTGTGGAGACCAGGAGTCAACTTTAGGTTCACTGTGGTTTTTGAGACAGGATCTCTCACTGAATCTGAAGTTAACTGATTAGCCAAGGCTGCTGGCCAGCAAGCCCCAGGCATCTGCCAGGCTCTACATCTCCAGCGCCTGGGTTGCCAGCATGTGCCACTGTGCCTCCTTTTTTATGTGGGTTCTAGCAATCAAACTCAGGTCCTCATGCTTGTGTGGCAAGCACTATACTGACTGATCTACCCCACCAGCCCCACCCACCCCTGCTTTAAAGATAGCATCTCAGTATGTTGCCCAGCCTGGCCTCAAACTCCTGGGTTCAAGCAAGCATCATGCATTTTACCATATACAGCTCTTTTCTCACTCTCTGTCCATCCATGCCTTCACCTAACATCTAAGACCCAGATATTTGACTTTTTGTTTGATTTTTCTTGTCTAGTTGCCCTGCATGGACTGCCAATTTGACATGTCTAAAAATTGAACTCATAATCTTTCCTCTTGACCCCATTCCTCTTCCTAAATTTCTTACCTTGGTAAATGATCCACACCGGAGCACAGTATACACAGTACACAGCGCCTGATTATCTCAGCTTTATTTTCTGGAGCTTCAGTCAGCTATGGTCTGAAACGGAACATTCCAGAAGTAAATAATCCTTAAGTTTTAAATTGTGAACTGGTGCAAGTTGAATGCTGAAATCTCATTCTGTCACATGGCACTGCTACATTCTGCCCAGAACACAAGCCATCCCTTTGCCCAGCGTGTCCACATTGGGTATGCTACCTGCCTGTTGGTTCTCAGTAGCTGTCACTGTTAGCAGATCCACTGTCAACCTGTGGCTGTGTCTGCATGCAGTGTGGGCTTGTATGAGTAGCGATGCTACCAGTTGTATTACGATGGGTTGTTCTGGGTGTTCGATTTTATAGTTAGTTGTTATTAATCTCTTAATAAATTGAATGTTATCATCATAGGGAAGTATAGGAGAAAACACAGTATACATAAAATTCAGCACTCTTCATGGTCTCAAGACACTGGGTCTTGACGGTTTTTCCCATGGAAAGTGGCAGCTGTTGTACCATAGCTGCTATTTACAAGCTCTTGACTGGACTGGAAGGCTCTTGAAGGCAGAGACTGTATCTCATTCAAGTTTCTATTGGCAGAAAGAGACACATAGCAGACTGCAATATTGTTTGCTGGATTATTTCTTAATTTCTGAGGAGTGAACAAGTTTTCATTATAGTGCCAATGTTCAGCACAGATTATATGCCCCCCAAAGGGAAAATAGATCTGTTTCTTTTAGGATCCAAATTAGTTCTGTTTTGACTCAACAGTTTTTATTCAATTGGTTATTTTGGGCACTTGACTATGAAACATAATTACTGATTTTTGACAGTGATTATGCTTTGGGACAAAAATGGCTTCCTCTTGAAATATATTTACTGAAGTAAACATAAATGCAAAGAACTTGTGGGTGTGTGCTACCTCCAGGCCCTGTTGGCAGCACATTTCATATATTGCTTGACTCTTTATTCTAGACTGTCAATATAATTCTTACTTTTCTGATTAGGAAACTGTAGCTCAGAGAGGCTCAGTAACTTGCTGTTTCACAGAGCAGTAAGTCCTAGGAGCCCAGACTCACACACTGGCAGTCTGACTTCCAAACCGGTGTTCTCAAGCACTGTTTTTCTGACATCTGGCTTCCCCCAGTGACGGCTGGGTGGCCCTGCTCTGAGATTTGATGCTCCTTCCTCTGGGATGCTGAAGCTTTGTCCCAGATCTGACATTCCCATAGACACCTCTCATTCTAAACATCTGCTTAGCTAAGTTAATTTACGAAAAAGACCTCTGGCTGTCCCACAGCAGACTGTATGTTTCATCAAGAAGGATTGTGCTGAATACTAGCCAACTTGATTCTCAAAAGATCTGAGCCTTCACATCATAAGAAACTTGTTTTTCCTAATTGGTTTCTGAAAGATTTTTAATATAATATTTGGTAGTTATAAGTCAGTGCTTGTGACATCCATGAACTCTGACACCCATAGGACTGCATAGAGCCCAGGATTGAAACTGCTGTACCATGGCTGTACCCTCATGCTTCCCTGCAGTGTGCCCTGCCTTCTCAGAGACCTTCCAGTCCTCATGTGCTTTTGTCCCATACACTTATATTCCCAAGCAGCATAGATTTCTCATCGAGCCATGCAAAGATGATTTCCTACTATTGTTGTCTTCCCTGACTGCTCTTTTCACTTCACTACTTTGCTAAGGGCTGCTCCTGATGCTGCTTGTGGCTGTGGTGTCTTGGTGTCGTTGCTATGTTGTATTGATGGATGCTACTGGGAAAATCCTACCATCAGATTTGCGTGCTCGTTTACTTATAGACAGCATCAGGAGATCTTCCTATCATCTTCAGTGTGGGAGTCCACAAGTGAATTGCTGACTGTCAAGTGCAAAGAAACCACAAGTGACAGGGGTCACTCTTACCTGAAAACAGGAACCAATGAGCACAAACTCAGATCTGCCTTGGCCTCCCCTTGCTGATGGTTGCCGCCCCGAGGGCAACCCTGTCCAGAGCCTCCTTCCAGCCTTGGGTCTGTTGTCAGTGTTTGCTTTCTCTCTTGTGGACTCACTCATACCCATTCACATTCATTAGTTACTTAGTTTCTATTCATCATTATGATTCCATTTAAGGCATCAGAATTTTATTTTGTGGGTCTGAGGAGAAAGCTCAGTTGGTAAAGTCCTTGCCACATAAGCATGAGGACTTTTATTCCTAGCACTCATGTAAAAAGTTGAGTGTGAGCCGGGCATGGTGGCATACACCTTTAATCCCAGCACTCGGGAGGCAGAGGCAGGCAGATCTCTGTGAGTTCAAGGCCAGCCTGTTCTACATAGTGAGTTCCAGGCAGCTGGGGTTATAGGGAGACCCTGTCTCAAAAAGACCAAAAAGAGAAAAGCTAAATGTAAGGTGCCAAGCATGGTGGCACATGCCTTTAATCCCAGTACTTGGGAGGCAGAAGCAAGTGGATCTGTGTGAGTTTGAGGACAGTCTGGACTACATAGCTAGTTCTAGGCAAGCCTGGGTTATATAGTGAGACCCTGTCTCAATGAAAGTATGGTGCTGAATTTCATAATCCTAGTGCTGGGAAAACAGAGACAGGACAATCCCTGACCAGCCAGTCTAACCTAATCTATAAGTCCCATATCCCAGTGAGAACCCCTGTCTCCAGAAATCAGGTGGACAGTCCCTGAGGAGGAGCAATGTACACGTACACACGTAAGCACATGTACACGAACAGGCAACTCCTCCACACTCACACAAAAGAATATTTTAAAAAGGATTATATTGTATGAAGGATCTAGTTATTCTCCTGCAAGATGGCCTTTCACAGTGTAGTCTGCCAAGCAGTGCAGAGTGCAAGTATTCACACGAATACAGAAGTGCTGGAGTTTGAACACAAGGCCTTATACATACATATGATTTACCACTGAACTTCCCCCTCTTGATTTTAAGCCTGTTTCAACCACACTCCTCTCTGAAGTTCCCTGTTATATGAAGCAGTTCAGCCTTTCTGGCCTCTACAGATAACTCACTCTGGCTTCCCTCTGAATATCTAAACGAATCTTCAGAGGCAGAGGTACCCTCTCCAGAAGGCAGTTGTAACTATAAACTGCATTTTCTTGCATGTGGCTATTTCCAGCACTGCAGAGCCGATCATTTGATGTCAGTGCGTGTTATTAATGCCATCTTGTCTTTCAGGTGTGTCCTTTAGCAAATGCGCTGTGCTGCAAGCTCTCCTAAACAACATTTAATATGTTCACGAGCACTATAATCTTGATCACAGTGTTTAAGGAACTAATGGAAAAGATCAAGCTAAATAAATCACATTTGCTGCTTTATTTTAAAGGTAGATTTTAGCTATTGTTTCTTTCTTACCATTTAATCATATAGTTTCGAGTTAGTAGTTACCCTGGTTCTCCAGTAGAAGAACTTACAATGAATTATTTATTTCTCAGTGTACTAGAAAAACTGTGGTATTACCATGTTATAATGCCACATTATAGTTAATGCCTGAATAAAACAGCCTGACTCCTAAATTTAGGTTTTGGGTTTTTTTTCTTTTACTTTTTTTCTTTTCTTTTCTTTTTTATTTTATGTGTGTTTGTGTATTGGTTGCATGTAGGTAAGTGCCCCTGTGTCGTGCAATACCTGTGGAGGACAGAAGAGGCTGTCAGATTCCCTGGAACTGGAGTTACAGACAGTTGTTAGCTGCCATGTGGGTGCTGGGATTTGAACCCAGGTCTTCTGCAAGAACAACCAGTGTTCTTAACCATTGAGCCATCTCTCCAGCCCCTAAATTTAGTTTTTAAGAGTGGATCCAGGGCCTAGAGAGACGGTTTAATGGTTAAGAGTGCTGGCTGCTCTTGCAGAGGACCCAGATTCTATTCCCAGCACCTATATGGTGGCTAACAACCATCCATAATTCCAGTTTCAGGGGAATCCAACACTGTCTTCTGACCACCGCAGGCATTGTACAACATGGGTGCACTTATATACGTTCAGGCAATACACTCATACACATAATAAAAGTAATAAATAAAATATTTTCTTAAAGAGTAGACCTGAACTCAGAAGACACCCATTTCCCCATGTCTCTTGGAACTATGCCCTGGAACCGTGCTGAGAGAACTGTGTCTGAGTCAGGCCTCACTCATTTTATTCAAAACCATTTCTCCAGCTTCTATTGGGGAAGTACAAGCTTGACTCCACCTTTATCTTATCAGACAATCTTGCCTTTTCATTTCTAGTTCTAGAATATCTCATGTGCATAATGTCAAGTATCCTTTCTTGCTCTTCATGTTTTCAATGAAGATGGGAGTGTGCTGCCTTTCAGAGCTTTGATATGTTAATTCTCGAGCATACCCACATTCATTCATTGTCTTTTTGGGTGGGGTAGCAGATTGAGGTTCCCAGGAAACAAGATCAAGTGCCAAGGTTAGTTAAAAGTCATTAGTTCAGCCTGAAAAAACCAGGGAGGAGGTGGGCGCTTGGCCATCTTGGGCTGGCAGGCCAGCGGCTGCAGATCTGGAAAGCTCAGCCAAGTTGTAGGGAAAAAGGCCCATGGGTGTCCATGCCTTTGTATGTAAGTAACCCCCTCCTGGACATCATGAGCTCTATAAGAAAGCCCAAATAAATATCTTTATTCCCCCCCCAAAAAGACATTAGTTCAGATTATGTCCATTTTATAAAAATCATTCCTATAAAAAACTGTTCTATAAACATAGTTGGCCATCTACATCCACACCTGTGGATTCAAGCAACCATGTTTGAAAGTATTTGAAGAATAAATTATCTATGCACTGAATGAACATGTAGAGCCTTTTTTGGTCACAATTTCTCTAAACAATATAGTATAGTACTTATAAAGCATTTAAATTTCATGAGATGTAGTAAATAATGAAGAGATGGTTTAAGTATTTGGGAGGACATGGATCAGTTCTATGCAAACTCTCTGCCATTTTATATAATAGGCTGGACCATCCACAGAGCTTGGAGTTCACAGGGGTTCCCGGTAACAGTCCCCCCGGGCACTAAGAGATGACTGCAGTGTCACTCTTATTCAGGTGACACCTTTAACAGAAAACATTCAATGCAGGTCTGATTTCATTTGCTCGCTAAAGATTTACCATGCTATATCGTGGGAGGCACAGACTAGGGTCTAATGTGTAGCAGGGCATAAAGCAAAAACCTTGCACTGGGCACACATCCCTAAGGGGAGATGGACACTCAGCCCTGAATGCAGAAAGCCCTGCAAAGGAGTGCTAAGCAGAGTAGATGGAGAAGGCAGGTCACAGAGGGTAGTTAAGGAGGCCTCCCTAAATCTGAGCAGAGACTAGAGGACATGGCTGGGAATGAGCCACTCTACTAGAGAAGCACTTCCTAGTAGGTAGGACAGTGAGCTTGAGGCCCAGAGGCAGCCTGGGCTTGGGAAACTTCAAAATAATATTTTAGCATGAGACTGAACCCATCTTTGTCCATACTTCTGTTTTCCAGGCATCCGAGATGTTTCTAAATGGAGTGAAAAGACAAGAAAGCCCCTGGAGGCGCTGTATGGCTATGACTACTTTGCCAGAACCTGTGAGAAGTGGGTGGACGGCATCAACCAATTTAAGCATCTGCCAGATGGTAGGTTGCATGGACTATTTAATGGTTCCTTTGCCAATTGCAGGGAATGCTTGAGTTTCTCCCTTGATGTCCCAGCATTCATCCATGATGAATGAACACGTTGGTTCTCCTCACACCCTGATGTGTGAACAGAGACACTGGTTGTTGCATATAGTCTGGGTCCTTGTGTAATAAATAGGTCTTAAACAAGGCAGGACTGCATGAATAAAGGTCATGTTGTTGGGACTTTAACAGCAGACTCTTCTTTTCTCTCCAGCCGGTTGTGTATGTGATGACACAAATTTGTTCTCCAGCAGTCTTTGTCTCTACTAATTCCAGAAAAGGCAATTAGAAAGAAAGCCACCACATAGTGTTTTTCCTTTTTTTTGCCTGTCTTGATGGCTCTACCAGTGGGTAGAGCTATTCATCATGTTTCTGGGACAAAGTACTACTACTACTGTGACAAAATACACTACTCATCACGTTTCTGGGACAAAATAAGAGGTTTCTGCCATGACCTTCAACCCCAGCAGAGTTAGTGTAGGGAAGAGACTGTTCAAGTTTTTTCTGTCTTCCTAACCAAGAGACATAACCTTAGCTGTGAACAGATATCTTCCTTTGTTTAGCTGAAAAAGTAACAAGGTTTCCACTAAGAATTAATATCCTTAAGAGGAATTTGAGCTGAAGTGTTTTTTATATAACTGTATGTTAGTCAGCTTTCTGTTACTATTACAAATATCCGAGATGATCAACTTAGTAAGAGAAAAGGTATATTTTGACTCACAGTACTGGCAGTTCCAATCCATGACCAGGAAGACCTGTTGCTTTTAATGTCATGTTGGGTGGTACAGCACATCCTGGCTGGAGCACTTGGCCAGGCAAAGCCATTTACCTCCTGGTCAAAAAGTGAAAGACAAAAAGGACTAGACTGGAGTTCCTTGTCTCCTCCAAAAGACTGCCTCAGTGACATGCAGACCTCCCACTAAGCCCCACTTCTTAAAGGTTGCACAATCCCCACAGCACCACTCAGGTGCCTCCAACACTTGAGCCTCTGGGGGACGATTACAAGCCAAGCTCTAGCAAGTTCTTTAGAATCTATTTTCCATTTCCCTTTTTCTTCTTTCCGTTTTTCTTTCTTTCTTTGTGGGGCAGAGGGAATTACTGTAATAGAGTAGCTAAGATTTCATTTAGAGACATTCATTTACAAAATACTTGTATCTAAAGGGCCAATTTAATCTGTTAGATAATCATCTCCCACAGGAATCATGTGCATGTCAAAGCTTTTGGAGTGAAAGGAACTTTTGGAACTGTTACATGTGTGGTTTAAGTTCAAAAGAGTAAATATAAGCCTTCTAATGATCCTGTTGAAATGCAGTATCCACCCACAGTAACAGGTCCTGAAAATGTATTTCCCTGTGCCTTAAAACAAAGCATTGCATTAAACAAAATGAGACAGTTCTCCAGTAATACATTGTGAAATGAAATGGAGTTGAATCAGCAGTTCAGAATCATGTGCTGATGTAGAGGAGCCAGTGTGAAAGTCATCTCACAGCAGGACTTGATAATCACCTCCCTCTGTACTTACTGATCTGACAGGAGACTTTTTCACAACCAAAAAATGTTTCCAGACCCATGGTCCAGCATGGGTTAGTTGCACAGCTGTAGAGTCAGCCGTGCTTGGGTTTGAGTTCTGGCTATGCCTCTTGACTTGCTGTCAGGGTAGATTTGGGCAGTGACTGGGCTTCTTGAAAATGTATTACTACTTCCCTTACAAAGTTGTTGTGAGATTGAGATAATACACGTTCAGCTCTGGTTTAGTACCACAGACAGTTAATCATGAATGAGTGCTTTTAATATTATTTATAAAAAGCACCCAATCTACAAATGTTTGTAAGAAGTGAATGAGTAAAGATGTGTAATTTAAGTCCTGCCACAGCAGGTGCTCATGGTGCTAGCTTTGACCAGCCACTTGATTATACAGCTGACAAGTGTGTGCCTAGTGACAGGAGAGGGGAGCTTCAGAGACCCCCAGCAGTACTTCTTCAGGCACCTGACCACCTGTCTTTTGATGGAGAGCAACCCCTAGCTGAAGAGGAGGGCAGAGGCTGGTGCCTGGTATGCAGTGTGAACTGGCTCCCAGCCAACTCAGTGCTACAGCGCCTTCCTTTTAATGTAGGTAGAAGTGGGAGGAGCCAGCTGCATGGCTACCCAGAACCTTCGATATGACTGTCTACATGTGTAGCCTCATAACAACCACAGAGGACTGTGATTGTTCCTGCTTGAGACTGAAGCTCCAGCTGGAAGGAGCCACCGAGATCTTAGAGGCAGGAGCTGGTGCCAGCCACCGAGCTGTCCCATCTCCTTGCCTCAGAAGTTCTCTGAGCCAGGACAGATCCTTGCTAACTCAGAGATGTGATAGTCAGGAGTGTCTCTAAGGTACGAGCGATAAAGAGCAGCTTACGTCCCTGATACAGACTAACTTCAGAACTGGCTGGGCCCTTCTGCCATTTGTGTGTCACGTTCTCAAGGGAAAGGGTTTCCAATTGCCAGGAGTCTTCCACATAGTTGATAGGTCTTCCCTTTGTAATATAAGAATTGTAAGTTTTTCTTTGTCTAATTTTCCCACCATTTACATGAGTAATGAATTTGAGTCAGGAAAAGTTGTTTATTTACCAGTAGAGTTTCAAAATAGACAAACAAGCCAGGTGTGGTGGCATATGTCTTTAATCCAGCACTCAGGAAGCAGAGGCAAGTGGATCTCTGTGAGTTAAAGGCCAGCTGGAGCTACAGGGAGACCCTGTCTCAAAAAGACAAAAAAAAAAAAAAAAAAAAAAAAAAAAAGAAAAGAAAACCAGACAAACAACACAGACATAGGCGAGGCGACCCTAAGAATAGAAGAAACCCCAGATCAAACTGGCTTCCACAGACAGGGAAGCAGAGATGCAAAGAGGGCCATGTGTGTTAGCCTTCTGACATCATTTGACAACATGTAAGGTAATAGACAAGGCTTGCCTTGGCATTGAGCAGTGCATGAGCAAGTGACTGCATTGTTTTGCAGCTCTGGTGAAGCAGCACCTTAAGGTAGGAGCATGTGGTGGAGCAAAGCTGCTTCCATCATAAGTCAGAAAGCAGAGGGGAGGAGAGGGCAGGCTGGGGCTATACAGTCCCTTCAGATGCATGCTTCCAATGACTAAGGATGTCTCATAAGGCCCCATTCCCTGAGGCTTCTACAACTTTCTAATGGCCCTCTCTGGAGACCAAACTTTTGAACATGTGGGCCTTTGGGAAGCACTGAAGTCCAGAGTATAGCAGCATGTCTCCACATGTTCTCTTTTCTCTTTCCCTGCAGAATGGCTGTGCTAAGGTCGAGTCCCTGTGCTTTTTGTCTCTCAGGTAACATCTGTCAGCACCTGCTGCCTCTGGTCCGGTGCCCCACCCTTATTGTGCATGGGGAGAAGGATCCTCTGGTCCCACGTTTTCACGCTGACTTCATTCATAAGCATGTGAAAGGATCACGGTGAGTCTAGTCACAGCCCCTGAGCTCCCCCAAATCTCAAAGCCTCCAAGGAAATCAGAGAAGTCATAGGAAGGAAAAGAAGGGGAGAAGTGTTGGGGATCTTGGGGTACATGTCTCATGTCTGGTCAGTTACTACTGTTATGTTTAGCGTATCACAGGGACATGGAGGACAGAAGCCCTACACTGTGGGACATCAATGGTGGAGGGACAGGGTTCTTCTGTTAAATATCTCTCAGCCTTGTGAAGAGCCAGTATGTTAATGAGCAGCAAGTTCTGTAACAGAGTGTCCATTTAGCTTCGTAGCAATCACGAAACAAATCCATAACATTTGGGATTTTTAGTTTATTAAAAAATAAACTCATAAAAGCAAGAAAATGAATTGTCCTCTGCTAGCCACCTCTTAAATGCTGTTTTTGTTGTATTTTTTTTTTTCCTTTGAGACAGGGTCTCACTATGTAGCCTTGGCTGAGCTAGAACTTGCTATGTAGGCCAGGCTGACCTTGATCTCACAGAGATCCTCCTGCCTCTGCCTCCTGAGTGCGGGATTAAAGGTGTGTACTACCATGCTCTGCTAGAGTATATTCTATATTCAACTCTGAAACTTTTTTCTTCACTAAAATTATATTGTGAACTTTATAAATTATTTCAACTTTAATATATACATAGTACCTTCTTGTGCCTGACCCTGACACCTGTAGAGGGCCAACACTGCTCCACATGCTAAGTGCTTAGTCCAGGTCCCTGTTCTCAAAGGCCCTGCAGTCCAGCAGGGAAAGCTGGCTCCAGATGGCTCCACTGCCTGTGAGTCAGTCTCTGCATGTTAAATATAGTTTAACATGGGCTATATTTACAGGATTTAAATGGGCTTCTTTGGGGATTTAAAAAGGTTTATTTTATGTATATAATTGTTTCGCCTGCCTGTATATGTGTATACCATAAGCATGCCTGGTTCCCCCAGAGGCCAGAAGAGGGCAACTGGAGTTACAGGTGTTTCTTAGCTGCCATGTGTGGTATTGGGATCTGAACCTGAGTCCTCTGCAAAAGCTACAGGCATTCTTAACTGCTAAGCTGTCTCTCCAGCCTCTTCTCTGGGAATTTTTAAATAAATTATTGTGCTTAATCCACAGCACAATACAATTGCCTTATAATTCCTAAATGTGTACACACACACACACACACACACACACACACACACACACACAGCATTCTTTAAATTAAAAGGCCTCTCTTCATTCCACATAGGTCTCCTATATCAGTAGTTTAACCACAAATTAGAAACAAAAAAAACAAGAAAACCCTCAAGAACATGAATATGTCTGATAAGTAACCCCTTTGGGAAAAATGCAGAGTAAGTGAAGGATAAACAAAGTTAGATTAGGGTTACCATGGGGTTAGCATAAAGATTTTTAGAAAAGTGTATGCGTTCATAGGAAATAAGACATCTTGGGGGCTAGATAGCTGGCTTGGTGGTTAAAAGCACTGACAGCTCTCACAGAAGACCCAAGTTCGAATCCCAGCACCCACATGATGGCTAACAACTGTCAGTAACTCCAGTCCCAGGGGTCCCATGCCCTCTTCTGCCTTCCATGGGCACTACATGACACAGGTGCACTTACATACTGTAGGCATAATACTCATACACATAAAATAAAAATAAGTTTAAGGGGCTGGAGAGATGGCTCCGCGGTTAAGATCACTGACTGCTCTTGCAGAGGATCCAGGTTCGATTCCCAGCACCCACATGGCGGCTATGCATTGCACAACACGGGTGCACATACATACAAGTACACTCATACATATAAAATAAAAAATAATAATAAAATATTTTTAAAAATAAAAATAAATTTTAAAAAATTTTAAAGAAATAAGACATTTCCAGACTTGACTTTTATAAAATATTAAGTCATGGTAGTGACACAAAATTTTTGTAATAATTCTCCCAAAAGTTTTCTATGTTCCTCAGTCTCTGTGTTTTATTTTAATTTTATAACTGTAGAGCATACAATGTGATATTTTTATATAGCATTTTATATTTTTAAGATATTTTCTAAAAATAATCGAATTATATGTCACTACAAACGAAAGAAAAGTGCATCCATCTTATGGATGAGAATTCAAGTCTGGTTGATGTTAAGGAATATTTCACATTGGATAGCTAGTAAATGACTAATCCTGGATTTTTCTCCCTCCTAAAATGGAGCTTTTCTACCATAGCTACCTCTCATAAATGTAAATGTGCCCTTCGGGTGATGCTGAGATGGTCATTCTAGGCAGCCTGGGTCATTGTCTTCCACCTCAGAAATGATGGGGTTTTGCACACTGGACCTTATGGAAAATGCAGACTTCCCTTAAAGAGTCAAGCTAATAAAAGTCAGTCTGTAGCAAAGTTTGGCCTAGGAATCCTGCTCCAAACCCATCTCCTAGCAACAGAATACATCAATATTAGAGAAAAATATGCCCTTGTGCATTTGAGGGAAGATCATTTTCTTACAGCAGTGTTCTTTGGAACTGTCAGATTGAAGGTAAAGTGTTACAGCAATTGTCAGAAGCTAGTCTGTGTTTTCCACTCCCTCTGCTAAAAGAGTCCTTTATTTAATTTTTTCACAGTCTTTTTTATTTTTATTTATTATTTTTATTTTGTGTTTATGAGTGTATTGCCTGCATGTGTATATAAGTGCACCTGTGTCACGCAATGCCTGTGGAGGTCAGAAGTGGGTGTGAGATCCCCCAGAACTGGAGTTATAGATGGTTGTTAGCTGCCATGTGGGTGCTGGGATTGAACCTGGGTCCTCTGCAAGAGCAGCCAATGCTTTTAACCACTGAGCCACTCTCCAGCCCCTAAAAGAGCCCTTTAGGTTGGGCATAAGTCTACTAAGAATATGACTGCCTTCTTTGGGAGCCACAAAAGGGATTCCTAGAGCTTCAGATTCTGCTGTGAGTCTGCACCAGACCTTCAGACAGCAGGGCAGTAGCTCAGTGTAGCTTCTAATGCCCCTTGTCAGATGTGCTTTTAAGGATTTTAAAGGCTTGTATCTCCCTTCCCGTACTTTTACCCAGAAGCACTTACTGAATATGAATCAAACAGTGCCCCCTTTACCTCCCTGGAGAGAGACCAGCTTCCAGCTTTTTTAACCTGTCTCCTTCCCTTCTCTTTTCTCTCTTTGTAGGAGAGAAATCATAGACTGTCTTAGAAGGAAAGAGGCCTTACAAATCATTCAAGTTCAGTGAATTTTTTTTTTTTTTTTTTTTGGCTTTTAGAGACAGGGTCTCCTTGTAGCCCCAGCTGTCCTGGAACTCACTGTGTAGACCAGGATGGCCTCAAACTCACAAAGATCCGCCTGCCTCTGCCTCCCAAGTGCTGGGATTAAAGGCGTGTGCCACCAAGTTCAGTGATTTTTAAAGTTTATTTTTAGGCAGCTGAATTTCTCCCACAGAAACTCTTGTATAAAACACATGAGAGCTGTTTGAACTGCAACAGCGGGGTAAACAGAGCCTGTCCTTTGGGGCCTCCTGCCCTCACCCCAGCCTCTGGGCCCCTGCATGTCTAGACCTCTATCCTAGACTGAGAATTGCTGACAAGCTCCTCGCCTGCCTTGTCTGCCAGCGTCTACATGGATACTTCCCATTCATTACAAAGCATGGCGTCACCATGAGGCCAGTTCAACTGCTGTCAGAGAATTTTTGTCAAGTAGGAGTTGGTACCCACCACACTCGAGCTGGTGTTGAGACCCTGGGAGTCAACAGGGCTGGACTAACTCAAGAAGATAGAACTGTACAGCTAGGTCAAGCCACTGTGCGTTCAGGCTGTGTATCAGCTAGGCTGCCACAGCAAAATTACAGAGGTCCTGCCATTGCCCTGCTGCCACTGAAGACTTTTTTAACTTTGTAGTGATGTCAGAGCATTCCCATGCAACCATCTGCTTTTTTGTTTTCAAAATTATATCAGGGTCCCAGCATGTTACTACAAATCATGCTTCCCATTAGATGGCTTTGCCCAACTGTAGGCTAATGTAAGTTTCTGAGCACATTTAAGGTAGGTAAGACTAAGTTGTTACTCAGTAGGATAGATATGTTAAGTGCATTTATTTACAATATTTTAATCTTGTTCCATATTGTTGGGTATTGAATTTCAGGCCTTAGACATGCTAAATATGAATCTACCGCTGAGCTACACTTTGAGCCTCAATATTTTCAACTTGTGATGACTTTATGAAGACATAACCACATTATAACTCAGATGTCTGTTTGCCCACAGTACTGGACTCCAAGATCAAGGTGTTGGCAAAGCAGGCTTTTTCTCAGTCCTTCCTCCCTGGCTTATAGATGCCCTTCTTGTGTCTTCTTTGATCCTGTGTCCCAGTCATAATGGATTAGGGTCCACCCAAATGACCTCATTTTGAACTAAGTCATCTCTTTGAAGACTCTGGGATTTCAACATAATAATTGAGGAGGACAGTTCATTCCATGACATTAGTTTATTTACTTATTTATTTATTTATTTATTTATTTATTTAATATGTATGACTGTTTTGCCTGCATATACGTTAAGTACCCCACTTTCGGTTCGTGCAATCCCCTGGAACTGAAGTTAGGGACGGTGCTAGAGCCAAACCTGAGACTTCTGCAAGAGTAGCCAGTGCTCTTAAACCACTGAATCATCTCTCCAGCCCCCATGACACTCTTTTTTTGAGGAGGCGATCAGATCTTGGGAATTAGCAAAGATCAGAATCTGGGTTTCAGTCCCATCAGCTGCAGCCCTCCATGTCTCCACCCCAGTGCACTCATCTTTCAGGCTCAGCCTTCTCCCCCTCCGGAAAGCTTCCTTACCCCAAGGTCACATAGCTCCTTCTTCATACCTTTTTTAACAACTGTCAGCATATGATTTCATCCTATTGAATGCTTTACCTCTCTCAGGATTTAACCTAGCACATTTTAAAAGCTCAGTGCATGTTGGGAGAGCAGGAGTAGGAAGCACATAGAAGGCAGAGTCTGTGGTGGCCAGGCTGCATGGTCAGGCAGGCCAGAGAGCCAGGCAGGCAGGAAAGAACAGGGCTAAAGTCCATGTGTGCAGAGTGACACCTCAGATTTGTGTCAGCCATGAAGAGAGATGGAAAGGGAAGTCTTGTCTGGAAATGAAAGGATGCTGGGTGACATAACAGTGGGATTAAGAGCACTGGAGGATCACCTGACTGTGTGCCCTTGAACACTACTCATGACATCTAACCTGTTTCCTGGTGTGATAGTGTCTCAACCTGACCTTCAATAGATCCAACCAGGCCCATGCACATTAGAGAGGGCAATTACTTTACTCAGCCTATGGATTCAAATGTTAATGTCATCCTGAAACATACTTGGCACAGCCAGAATAAGGTCTGATCAAATACCCTGAGGCCCAGTCAAATTATATGTAAAATTAACCTTCACTGTATGAAAGGGATGGCAGGCACATGATCCTTTCCACAGAGGTCTTGACTTTGGGGTGGCTTTCCTGGAGAGTGTCCTAGCAGGTGTGATACTGAGGGGCAGGAATGGCTGTCCAGGTAGATGGTGGGCTAGCTGCTGTTCTTATGTCTGAGTCATTGAGGGAAGGGAAGACCTCTTTTTTCTTTTAACTTTTTTTAAATTGAGCTTTTTAAATTTCATACATTCCCCACTCAAATCCAGACCCCCTCCCCCATCCATGCCTTCCCCTGTCCCCCCACTGTACCCTATTGCACTCTGCCATACATGCTGCGTCCTATTCATTCAGGTGTTTGTGCCCAAATGTTCTTCAGTGTTAATGTGTCCACTGGAGTCTAGTCAGCCCATCCAGTGGTTGTATGTGAGTCATACTGTCCCTCATCCAGCAGCAGTCAGTCTCAAATAGTTCTCAATCTAGTGCTGGCCCACCACCTATTTCTCACCTCCCCTTTGGGACCTTGTTTAATTGAGCTGACATGGGTCCCATGCTTGAAGCCACCACTGCCACAGGGAAGGCCTCTTTCTATAGCTTCCTTGACTCTCCCAAGTCTGGCCACCAGTGGTAAGATGCCCCAGCCTACTGGAGTGACCTAGGTAAAAAACCGGTGCACACTGGTGACTGAGGTCCTTCCTCAGTGGTGTAGAGAAGCAAGGCCAGGTTCCTGGAGGAGGTAGAAGCTTGTGGAAGGGCACTTGCTGCAGCATGTGTTACTACATAGCATCTTGCTGGAGCTCCCTCTTCTCAGGCCCAGGTGACTTCTCCCACAGATGGGAGTAGGGAGGGGAAAGTGGTCAGAGCTAGACTTCCATGTGGTCTGAGGATTAACTCCAACCAGAAGTAGCCAGTGCTCACAGGGCTGAGGCCTTTGTAATTCAAAGAGTGGAGTCTGACCCTTTCTGGGCACATCTTAAACACATTTTGCAGAACCTTTCTGAGGGAAGAATCTTTGCAGCTGGAGGTTTTATGTCAACCAACACATGTAAATAAATTGTGCTCCCCTGAGTTTGGGCATTTCTTTAATATATTGTTGTCAGAACCTTCATATTGATGTTTACAAAGTATAATGCATAGTAAAACAATAGCAGACAATAACTAAGTGACTGCACTAAGTGCATATGCCTTATTTCATTTGGTTCTCATGGTAATCCCAAGGATACTATTACTGTCCCCATTTTCCAGGTGAGGAATGGTGGGTCAGAGAGAGGCTCTAACCTGCCAGTACAGAGTCCAGGCTGCTAAAACCAGATGTGTCCTGACCTCATACAGCCCGTAAATCTTACCCACTGATAGCCCCTGCAGTTTATATCCAGTTCCCATGAAAAGAAAGTACTCAGTGCAGTTGGTAGGCCCTAGCCATATTTCTGGTGTTGGGAGCAGGTTTGGGAAGGCTTTTTCTTCCACATACTGAAGTAAATTATCTATCCCACAAACCCGGCTGAAGAGCTCCACTGGAGGAAAAAAGGAAAAAAAAAAAAAAAAGGCATGTAGCAATTGAATTTCTTTTCCATGCTCCAGACGTGCTTAGATTTAAGAAAAGAGACTTCACCAGGAGATGTCCACCCTCCACCCCCAGATGCCTAGCTGGTAATGCCTGGGGCGGTACTCCTGCCAGCTCACACGGCTTCCCTTTTTGTTAGGGCTTTCTAGAAGGAGCATAATGAACAGAGAAAAGGTTTTATTTCTGAACAAAAAGGCCATTGTGGGCAGCCAGGTTTGCACGGCTTTGGAGGACTGCTATGTGAAGGGTAAGGACAAGATCTCCCTGTAGCCATGCTGCTATCCACTTTCATGATGGACGAGGACCCCCCACAGTGAACAAGCAGCCCCCTTGATTTCCAATGAAAGCAGAAGAGCTCACACTCTTCCAGACTGTTTTATAGGTTCATAAACTATTGTGAGTTTTGTCACATTCGTGCAGAGTGAAGACATGCTACACACGTTCCTTAGGGCCTTGTAGCTATCTATAGCTCTCGCAGTTTAATTTGAAAGCCGAAAATAGCAAGACCGAAGCCAGATGGGCAGCATGATGAGATCAGCATCTTATCAACTTGACCTAGAGGGCCTAGGTCCAGCAGAGCTGAGATGACCACTGGGCTTACCCCAATACAGTAGCTTCTCTCCCAAAGATCTAATGTCCAGTCTCTTTCTAAAGATGTCACATGCTACAGGAATCTTCCTTGGCTAATAGCAACTTGTACAAACCCTGTGGGGCCCCTTCACTGCCAGCTTAGCCATGTATTTACTGGTAAGCTTTCCTACTAATTTTCCTGGGGATATGATTGTTTGAAAGCCACTGGGTGAGGCATATGCATCCCTTTATTGTCTGGGTGAGAATTGGGTCATGCACAGAGCTTCCACATGCCAGTGTTTATGCCTGGCTGTTGTGATCCTGTTCCCAAGAAGATGCATAATAAGCTTCACATAGAGGGAGGGGAGGAGTTGCACTAAAAATCTGAAAAGGTGTCAAGGACAATTTTCTTCATACTTTCATCCTTCTGTCCATCCATCTAGCCACCTACCTGTTCACCCGTGTGGATATCCATTCATCCACCTATGCACCCATCTGGCATCTAGAGCAGAGTAGGTCTCCCATATTTTTAATGTAAAGGATTTTATTTTTCTTTTCCCAAGATCCAGACATGTGGTAGAAAGACTGCAGGCTTTACTGAATGGCAGAAGAGAAGGGATCCACAGCTGCTGCTCCCTTCCCATCCTTACGGGAACAGGCAAATTGTAGAAACAGGGCAGAGAAAGTGGCAGCTGAATTGGGCATCTCTAGGTATATTTTGGGATGGCCAAGTCATTTTCTTGGCCTTAAAACCTAGCTTAACTAGGATAAGTGGGTATCATTTAGCTTAGACATACTCTTCTTGTTACCTCAGTGTCCTGGGCAGCTGGGCCTTTTTGTGCCCTAAAAATCACACTGCTGAGTATCCCTGCAGCCCCATGTCTGTGTAGGCAGCTGGATTCTGTCTCTGGGGTTGGTGTATTTCATCTCTTCTGAGAAGCATAAGTTGAACTTAAAATGTTCTGGTTATTATCAATACCATTGTTAACCTTCCAGTGGCCTTATAAGATACCAACAATATCTCTTCCTTTCCATTTGATTATCTAGCCACCCCACCCCTGCCACTGACCTGAAGAGGGCTAGCATCTTCCTAGGACAGCTGCCTTCCCTAAGAGTCCTCCCTAGTGCCCACCGAGGTTCTGAGAGTCATAAGCACCCAGCTCTGAAAGGTCAGAGAACTATACGATGTGTTTACAGGATTTTTGCTCCAATATAATCCTGTTGACATCCAGTTGTCACTGTAGGAAAAATGACTTGAACCTGAGCTTACATCCTAAACACTTTGTTTAAAACTTTGACTGTTTCTCCACTTTGGAATCTAGTAAATAAAATGCAGATTTCAAAGAGGATGGTACTTAAGAAATTGCAGACCAGTCCCCTTTGACCAAAATTCCATTGAATGGAAGAAGCCTTTCCAAAGCAGAGGGGAACACCAAGGCGAGATGTGGCAGCTGCGGAAGTGGCTCTGAGGACCCAGCTGCCAACGAGCCCTGGCACTTGCCCAAAATTCCCAAGGAATTTTGCCATCTGTCCAGTGGCTGTAGTCAGGCTTATCTGCTCAGTACGCTAAACATGATAGGGTGGGTGGCTTGGAACCTTGAATGAAGGCTGCTGTGTCTGAGAATTCTGATTTGGCTTTCTCACTATGCAGATACCCCAAGAAACCCACCCAACCCAGTGAATTCTGACCATTTATTTATTTATTTATTTTTGGTCTTTTTGAGACAGGGTCTCCCTGTAGCCCCAGCTGTCCTGGAACTCACTATGTAGACCTGGCTGGCCTTCATTTCTTATATTTAATCATCTTGTTCTTTAGGCAGAGTCTTATATGTGGAACCCAGGCTGGCCTCAAACAGATGATCCTCCTGCCTCTGCCTCCCAAGTGCCAGGATTTCAGGCAAGTACCACCATGCTTGACTAGTATCTTAACCATAGTTCCAATAGTCTTTTAAAAACAAGTTTGTTAAAATGGATTTTTAAGGCAATTACCAAATCACCTCTTCCATTGTTTTTCAACCAATCCATTTGTTACCTGATGTGATTCTGAATACATTGCCACTGCTAAGTGATGGCCTGATGAACCATCTCTAGGGTGGTCAGAACTTCCAAGGGGATTCATTCCAATACCCATAGTTATGTAAGGCTTATACGGTTACCTTACATGTGTCCCTAATAGTAGTCAAGGGAAAAATGTGAGTTTTTCAGTTTATAGATTTTCACAAAACGTTCAAGAGGGGAAAAGATTTTTAATTGACACATCACAAACTTGGTTTGTGTTTTCAGATTGCATCTGATGCCAGAAGGAAAACATAACTTGCATTTACGTTTTGCAAATGAATTCAACAAACTGGCAGAAGAATTCTTACAATGAAAACATGGGAAGACTTTGGTGTCTCAGTAGTTCTGCATTGAAGGACTTGATCATGCCATTGCCTAGTACCAGGATGCTCCAAAACACCCTCCCTTGCTTTGTGCCTCAGTTCAGACCTGCCAGGCTTTCTACCATCCCTACAATATGACTCTACTCAAGCAGGAATAGTAGCACATCAAAATCAGGTTCTAGCTTTAAAAACTACAAAAAAAATGAATGCTGATTTTTAAACATTAAATTATGAATATCTATCATTGTCTTAAAAGTAAATTCTTACCATCATTTTCAAATAAATTTTATGTGAAACATTTGCAGGGTTCACTCTTGCTATTTAAGACATCTTGCATTTGTAGCACACATTTTGCCTGAGAGTTAAAGCTGAACTTGTGTTTGTCCTATGTTCTGCAGGTTCATAGGATGTCTGCCATGTTACCAATTAAAACACTAAGCAGAAATCCTACATGGCTACTAATATTATACCCCAAAGCTTTATATTTCAGAAATACTTAGTAAATGAATAAGGGGAAGGAGAATAAAGACCACAAGGTTTTATACACATGCTTTTTATTAGTATAGATATCTTAACAGACAATACTGTTATCTTTAGGGAAGGTCCCCATTATTACATCAACAGTGAAATTCTGACAGAGGCAAAACTGAGCACCATAGTTTACAAATAGAAAGACCATGCTGGAGGACAACAGAAGTTCACTAAGGATGCACAATGTATCTGAAAAGTTCTTAAGCTTCATCCTCACCCTCCTCCTCCTCGAACTCGCCCTGCTCATCAGCCGTGGCATCTTGGTACTGCTGGTACTCAGATACCAGGTCATTCATGTTGCTCTCCGCCTCTGTGAACTCCATCTCATCCATGCCCTCACCCGTGTACCAGTGCAGGAAGGCCTTGCGCCGGAACATGGCAGTGAACTGCTCCGAGATGCGCTTGAACAGCTCCTGGATGGCCGTGCTGTTGCCAATGAAGGTGGCCGACATCTTGAGGCCTCGTGGGGGGATGTCACACACGGCCGTCTTCACGTTGTTGGGGATCCACTCCACGAAGTAGCTGCTGTTCTTGTTCTGCACGTTGAGCATCTGCTCGTCCACCTCCTTCATGGACATGCGGCCACGGAAGATGGCCGCCACTGTCAGGTAGCGGCCATGGCGAGGGTCGCAGGCAGCCATCATGTTCTTGGAGTCGAACATCTGCTGGGTGAGCTCAGGCACCGTCAGGGCGCGGTACTGCTGACTGCCCCGGCTGGTCAGGGGTGCAAAGCCTGGCATGAAGAAGTGCAGGCGTGGGAAGGGCACCATGTTCACCGCCAGCTTGCGCAGGTCTGCATTCAGCTGGCCTGGGAAGCGCAAGCAGGTGGTCACCCCGCTCATGGTGGCTGACACCAGGTGGTTGAGGTCGCCATATGTGGGTGTGGTCAGCTTGAGGGTGCGGAAGCAGATGTCATACAGAGCCTCATTGTCAATGGAATATGTTTCATCTGTGTTCTCCACCAGCTGGTGCACAGAGAGGGTGGCATTGTAGGGCTCTACCACAGTGTCAGAGACCTTGGGTGAGGGCATGACACTGAAGGTATTCATGATGCGGTCTGGGTACTCCTCTCGGATCTTGCTGATGAGAAGGGTGCCCATGCCTGAGCCAGTGCCTCCCCCGAGTGAGTGGGTCAGCTGGAAGCCCTGGAGACAGTCACAGCTTTCTGACTCCTTCCTCACCACGTCCAGGACCGAGTCCACCAGCTCAGCTCCCTCTGTGTAGTGGCCCTTTGCCCAATTATTTCCTGCACCACTCTGGCCTGTTAGTAGGAAATAGAATATTAGACACCTAGAAATTCAGGATTGTGTCACTGGACTGTGAAGAAGATAGAACTGGTCTTAGAGAGTCTTTGATAGACTTTTAGATATAGTTTTATGTGAAGAAAACTATTTTCAATGTAATAAAAGCAAGAATCAAGTTCAAGGAGAGAATACATTTTAACAAAACTCAGCTGTTTCTAAAATTAATGCAAAATAGTCTCTCTTCTAATTAGGTACAATTAAACAGGCAGGGGAAGGCAGGTCTACTTTGTCTAAACCGTGGTCGCCAAAATGGTTTCCTAGTGTCCCTGGTCCTTAGAAATTCCCTGAAGCCTATGACACCCTGTTTGAAGCCTTTCTTGCTCTCTACCTCCCACCCCCGACCAAAACTGCTCCAGGTGGAGGCCCTCATAGCCTATGCTGGCTGACACTCTCCTCTAAGCTGCCAGGGGTGGCCTCAGACATGACCCTGTCAGCTGGGGGAGGGTTGGCCAGCCTTGCCATCTGTGGACACAGGCTCATCTAGGCATTAAGACACAACTGGGAAGCCCGTGGCTGCTAGGAAGGAGGTGAGTCATCTGGCCAGCTCCCATGGAACATGACGACATTACCAAACACGAAGTTGTCTGGCCTGAAGATCTGGCCGAATGGTCCCGACCTCACCGAGTCCATGGTGCCGGGCTCCAGGTCCACCAGGATGGCCCGAGGTACGTATTTGTTGCCTATGGGAACAAGAGCAGACTTAGACCTGGGGCTGGCATGGAAAGAGGTGGCTCTCACAGCAGGAGTCAGTACAGAAATTCCAGCATTGGAGACAAAGGGAGGAAAAGAAAATGGAGACCCAGAGCATGCTTAGTCATGACAAACATGCAAAGGTCTGTCTGCAGGAACTACAAAGAGCATTTCTCTTTTGCAGTTGGCATTTTAAATAAGTATGCAAAGGTATTTGTCATTTGTATGCTCCTGGGCCACTTCCTTTGCCACTGGAAAGCAAAGCTGACACCCCAGTACTCACCAGCAGCTTCATTGTAGTACACGTTGATTCTCTCCAGCTGCAAGTCACTGTCTCCATGGTAACTGCCAGTGGGGTCGATGCCATGCTCATCGCTTATGACCTCCCAAAACTGAAATGAAGAGATTCACATGATGACTTAGGATTCTGTCACTGAAGAAAGGCCTTGGTAAGACAGTAGACTAGATACTAGTGAGGTGCAGAGCCCTATGTCCTTGCGCAGCAGCTACTGCAGAGGGACTTGGAAATCCGCATAGCATTGGCCATGTTCTGACCACAGATGCAGAGCTGGCTGGGAGGGGCCTGGAGAAGGGGGCTCAGCAGATCTCCTAGGAAGCTGCAGAGGCAGGGGTGACTTGCTACATCCATGTTGATGGATGGGTAAGGACAGAGGGGAGGATCAGGTGCCCCGCCCCCTGCGTCACCCTGGCACAGACCCCACACAGCTTTCAACAGCAGGATTACACACCACTGACCTACATATTGGCCTCCAAGGTGTTAACCCTGGGCTATGAATGTGTTGGGATGGGCATCGCAATCCTGGGAGGGTGCCCACCCCGGTGGCCCTGGAAAAAACTGGCCATCATGAGGATGCAGTCTCCATTGTGACTTGGCAGCAGGAAAGGGGGCGGGGAGGTTGGGTGGGCAATATGGCGGTTTTGAAAGAGACCACGTCCTTGTAAAGGCTCCCGCCCACACCCATGTTCCGTGCTCACTGCTGCCTCCCGGTTGCAGTTGGGACTCGGCCCCCCATCCAATGCAGTCACCTGCCGTCTCGCAGCATGGAAAGACAACCATGGCGTGTTATGTCATCGTGTCTAGCCCGAGCCCATGTAAGAGAATTTATAACACTCTCGTCTGTTGGCCCAAAGAGGCGCCTCTATAATATCTGTTAGCCCATGACATTGCATTTTTTCATTCAAATGATAGATAAAAATATGCAAATTACATTTACATGAGGCTAGCAATATGTTAGATGGTGATCCCAAATTTCAGAGACAAATACACTCAAGGCGACTACCAACTCTGCCTGGCAGCGGGGATGCGTCCCGAAGCAATGTGATGGGCCTTGATTTAAGACCCTGCTTTCGCGCATCATGACAGGTTAAGCGGCTTTCAGAGCCCCACCCAGCCAGAAGCCCTGCGGTGGAATGCACCAGTCGGGGTGCTCCGCTTGCTCCCGGAGGCTCGGCCCCGCCCACTACCTCTGGACCCCCGGCCCGGGGGGGAGATCCCATCCTCCCTCACCCCAGGGGTGCGCCCACCTTAGCGCCGATCTGGTTGCCGCACTGGCCCGCCTGGATGTGCACGATCTCGCGCATGGTGCCGGCTATGGAGCGGGTGGAGGCGCTGGCCCTCGGAGCTGTGCGTGTACTGAGGGCTCGGGAGCGCTAAGACCTGTCGCCGCCCCCCAGCTCCGACTTTTATACCTCGGGACCCGCCCGGCTGCGCTGACGTCATGGGGGCGGGGCCGATGGGCGGTGCGGCAGGAACTGCGGCACCACGAGGGGGAGCCGGGGCGCGGTGCGAGGTGCCCGGGCACAGGCCATGAAGTCCGCGGGGTCCGCGGAGTGCCCAGGGTGCCGGGTCTCGCGTCCTGCGTCCGAGCGCGGTTCCCACATCTTGGTCCTGCCCACCTGCTTCCCGCACCGCGTCCACTTTGTGCTCCTCGGCTGGCGCGACCCTTGGGTTACACTGCAGTTCCTCTCCCACTCCAGCCACTCCCCACACTGTCGGGGACTGGAAACGGGTCCCACGTTGCCGGGCAGGCAGACGGCGCCTCCCACTTGAAAGACGCATCTGCACTGGAATGTCCAGCTGTACAGGGCGCCCACATCCTGGCCAGGGTCCCCGACTCTGGCTCGCCTCGCTATCTTTTCCGTCTGCGTGGAATTCAGGGGGAAAAGCCAATTGAGAGGGGGAGAGGAGGTGGGGACAGGCAATGGGGAGCGTCCTCTAGGACAGTGAGGATGCGCTCGCTCTACAGGTGGATCATGGGCTGGGAGGGAGGATAAATGGGTGGTGAGCTCTGGATTTGTCTGGAGTCTGCTCTGGGCTCTGGATTCTCAGGTCCTGGTAAAAGCCTTTTGAATGTCAAAAATTCTGCACACGTATACGTGTTAGAAGGAGAGAGGGAGGAAAGAGAAGAAATGTGAAAGCTCCGAGGCATGCACCTTCCAAACATTAGGTCACCTAATTGTCAGAGAACATTGCAGACCTGCCCAGGTCATTTGGGTAGCCACTAGCCACAGGTGAGCACTTGAAACATAGGGCATCGGAATTGTGATGTTGCATGTGAAATACACAGTGGGTTACATGGGCTCAGTAAGTTAAAATAATGTGAAGAACTGCATAGACCACACATCAAAATGATAATATTTTGGATGTATCGTGTGAGATATTTTTTAAATGCTTCACTTTTTCACATTTAAAAATGTGGTAGCCAGGGGCTGGAGAGATGGCTGAGCAGCTCGGAGGACCTGGTGTTCTTCCAG